CTAATTTAAGCGACAATGATCGCCTTGTTTTTCGTAGCATTATGCATAAACGATTTACAACTTTGAAAAGAAATCAGTTTCAAAGGATAGGTAGTCCACATTGAAAAAGGCAAAAAAGATGGCGTCGTAGAACGTCACGGAGCAGCAATTAACCATACAATTTTGTATTTTACTCTGGAAAACTCCAGAAAAAAATCTGAAAATACCAGAGGAAGTGGGGAAATATGTCAAAAGCGAGCCATGCATGTGTGTGTACATGGTACAAGCGGTATTTGAATGGTAAACTACTCTGCTTAGACGATGGTGATGTCTGAGAAAACGGATTATCTGTAAAAATCTTATCAAAAACAGTGAAAAGTTAGTAACGTCATGCTAAGAGTTTGGTGCTTCACAGATGCTGATCTTGTGAAGGCACATTTATGCAGTGAAAAAAATATAACATTGACAAACAAAATAATGCCACTGGGACAATTGTTAGCCAAATAGATTTCAAGTGATAGATAAAAGTTTTAAATGAGCTAGTGCAATGGTATTGGGCAATACTGTGTGAAATGTATAGGGATAGTATTATTGAGAACTTCGTGTCGGTATGTTTTTGACGTTACAGTGTTGTTGAGTTTGTTCCGTGGTTACAAAACGTCTTGATTTTAAAATTAAATAACATGAATTCCATTAAATTTCTTGAAGATAGTATAAAGAAGATTGGCATAGTCCACGAACTTTCCGAACAACCCTCGTATGTACCTTTATATCTTCAGTAACAACATCCAGAAATTTGAATTCATTCCATTACAAGGGTTCCAAAGTTACGGTCCAGACAATATTTATCTCATTGTCCACCTTGAAGATTTGACCTTGAGTCAAGACTATGACTATCAACAATTTACTCAAGCTCACTGCAATCGAAGGTTCAATAACTTACAACCCAGGAAAGATCTTATTGTCCAGTGACCCTGCCTTTAATGAAATAACTTTGAGTTTTAAAAGATCATAACACACTTTTATATATCATGGGCAACAACATTCTAAAGTTTCACGCTAGTTCATATGAATTCATTATTGATTAGTCAATTAAAAGTTATGAGCCGAATACAATTTTTTTGTGACAGACAGACAGATAGACAGAAAAACATGACATTTCTATCGTGTCTGCTACTGTTGATGGAGACATAATGAAGAATAACATACTATAGTACTGCCTTCAATTCAACGTCAATCAGCAAGGAAGATATTCTTTATTTGTAAAACAATAGTGGATTCAGCATAGCGTTACAGATACTGGCAGATTTTTATGATTAACCATTTCACCAGTCTGATACCAAGGTCAGTGTTGACTGCCAAATACAAAGACATTCTTGTCACCGCATTTTTAAAAGTCTGGAACTAAAAATCTGACAAAATATATGCACATTTTCGACAAGGTCATAAAAGAAACACGAACTGTGATGGTTAAAAAGATATTCCTGTCAAAAATAATTTAACGACCATAAAAATGTATTTGATACTAAAATGACAAGGCAGATAGAGAACTGAAGCTGGTATCAAATTCTGTTGACTTTGTCATTGAAAAAAAGATATATTGCTGTTACAACTGCGCCGATCTCAGTATGCCTGACATTATGTAACGAGGAACGATTCAGAAACTCGTTTCTTTTTTATTTCTTACGACTCGAGAGGTAAGTTCGAAATGGTTTCATTTTCAAATGTCATTTATATTCTTTCTGTACTTGTTTTGATACCCGAATATTTTATACAATTCGTTATATCAAAATCTGCTATATATGGGGGTTGATATATAATTGGACTCTGTATTCAAATTTCAGTGAATGTGTATAGGACCAAAAGGATAGATACATGTATAATCCACGTATTACATTGATGTGGGAAAACTGCCGGACTTATATTGAAAGAAGAACCTAATCTACTTTTGTTGAGAAAATGTTATCTTAAAAATCACAAAATAAACATGTTTTTATTAAGTGCATCACATGAACAGTGTTAAACAAATACATTTACTTCCCAGAGCAATATTCTTATTGTTCACTGAAACAGAACAAAAATTGGCCAGGTAGTATTTTTGTTGACCTTGAATACGGTAATAGATCAAATAAAATAATGATAAAAGGAAATAGAGCTATTTTTACAGTATCTCAAATTTAATACATTTCAGATAAGGGTCTGACTTACAGTCGTCAATACAGAGCGAGATCCACATTCGTACCTTCTGACGTAACAACATTTCCAAAAAAGAGGACAAAGCGACGCTCCCTGCCAACACACATCACTGACATAGTCCATCTGGTAGCCAAGTCACCATCACGACACAGAAAGGAAGTGGGCGCAAAACGGCGCTCTTCTGCTTCCCTGCTGGCACCACCTTCCGGTGGCTCCCAGACATTTTTATCTTCTATGTCCGAATGTGACGAAAACGACGCTGCTTTGACATTTCAATGTTCTTGTACTTATAATAGGGAATTAGCTTTGGATGATTCACATACCCCCAGTCAACGAAAGTTTGGTTATTCCAATCCAGCGATGTCGTATGAAGATTTTGACATTGTTGGTGAAAGTTCTGAACATAGGTTTCCGTGGCAGAGAGACATATCGGTGCAGTGTTGTATTGAAGGCCACGATGAGTTTAGAAGGAAATTATCAAGTAATTGCAATGAAGATTCCCCAGCTTGGAATTCTTTCCTTTTTAGAAACCGGACATCTTCTCTAACTCGATTAGAAATTCCATCTTATCCTCAGATCCGTCCCAAAACCACCGACTTTCCAAGGACAACAGCGTATAAAGAAGATACGGAGGGTCCACAGCTAGAAATTGTCGATAATATAATGCCACATACATCAACAGCTTATAACAAAGAAAGGTAAAAAAAAAAAAAAAAAAAAAAAAAAAAAAAAAAAAAAAAACAGAAGTAAAGCTCTGTAATATGGAAGAAAAAAAAAGAATATTCCCTGAGTGGCACTACTGTAGACCATTCATTATTCTGTGACTGTGTTATTGAAAATATATTTATTGAAGCTTATATATTCTCCGAATGTTATTGTAATTAAATAATTGTTTTATGTTGACAGGCAAATGTTGTTAATTTCTAGGTAGTTTCCTAGCTTATGTTTTATGGAAACATTCCAAAACAGACACTTGTAAAACTGTTGGTGTACGGAAATAACTAACTAGTTCATTTAAAAGGGGGAAAAACAAAGGACAGAAAACTTTCCCGAACATCTTAACTGGAGATCTGTGTGTATGAAAGGGGGAGGCATACTAGTATATTGCGCATGTCCATTATTAGATTAAAATTGGCTTTTAAGCGTCTTAATTGAGAGTTGATATTGCCAGATAACTTACTACTTTTTAATAATGTTTGAAATGGATATAATGTAACATTTTATTAATTATGGCATATTGACAGGGCCATTATGTGCATAACGTGAACCCAGCTCTTCAAGTTAAAACACGCCTAGGCTTAAACTTTTGAACACTGCAGTTATCATTTCTTTATTTTTTTTTCTTAAATAAGCATTCATAGCTCTTAACAAATGCACATAGATACATGTACAGGTAGTATATATTTTCCTTGATGAATTAAGGAAGCACATTCTTTAAACCATTAAAAGCCACGATTAGTGCAGGGAAGCTATTTACGACGGACATATAAATCGTACTATCAGCGACGGATCTTACTTGTAGATGTATAGAGGCGCTGGGTGTGGTCAGCTCTCCTAGTCACGCCCTCCGATCCCCTCGGGTGTCACCCATCACAATCAACGACCGAGCGGAGTTCCTCTTTGACTCAGACTCAGACCATCAGCAAGGTAACCAAAGATGTATCCCATACTCTTTTCCTTTCAAGCTTTGTATTGTCTAAAGAAGTCATATTAAAAAAATATTATATAAACCTACTCATTTTAGATACATTTGGGGAGAGGAGAGTTTCACCAACTAAGAAGGTAGGTGAAAATTCTTTTAGCAGTTGATGTGTCAAGAAAACCTTATGGTAAATATAACAAATTGTTTGATTTTAAATAAGCTAATCAGTGATTACAATTAACAAAAGCGGATAATATATGTCGGGTTTCAGGACTTTCAGTTGGCTTTAAAAAAGGAGGGGGTGTTTACATAACATCTAATGAATACGAGAACAAAAAGAAATGTGATCTGTATGGTTTTTTGTTGTATATGATGATCTGCTGTACATGCATAATTTAAAAGTTCCTTCAAGATGCACTGTTGTTAAACCACTTGTCTGAGTTTCTCCCCTATTAATAGTGTATTATATATAATTGTAGGAGAGGGTAGTGTTTCCCTCTTCTCCTAAGCCTGTCAATGTTTATTTGCAAAAGGAAATCATAAGTGTACTATGTATGCTAACAAAATTATAATTTGTAGCTCGAGTCAGATAGTATGAACGCTTCAGACGATCATGAACCTTCTCCCTCTAACGTCAGACGTGGCAGACGGGCGGCCGTCATTGATACAAAGGTAAATCTGACCGAAAAATCTTATAAAGCACTAAAACCATGAGTACTAATCATCTGCATCAGTGTTATAGCAAGTAAAGACAAGAACTTTTATGTCATTTCAAACAGAACATTGGAGATGTATCGCCCAGTAATATATCTCCTGTGTCATCGCCATGTTCTTCTGACGACGAAGCGGACGGACTAAGGTAATACAACAAATATTTTGTTTTGCACTTCAGTATGCAAGCCCCCCCCCCCCCCCCCCCGCCTCCCCTCCAGAATGATATATAATTTTACATTGTTGTCCATACCACGCCGTCCATGAATTGAATGCAGTATATATAAACGAGTTTTTCTTTCGGGAGAGATTTAGGCCTTGTAATTAAAATTAGAATAAAAAATTCATGAAGTTGTTTTCGAAGCTATCCTAAAAGTGCCGCAGCTGCAGTTAACACTGAGCGGCCAATAAAAGTTGTAAAACAGTTGTGTGGCAAATTGATCATTTCTGTTACTTGGACAAGAAAATGGAACATATCCACGTGACTTTGATTTAAACACAAGTGATATTTTCACAGATGATGCCTTGCCGATCTATTTTGTATGAAAGCCCATTGAGCTCATTTTCGTAGGTAAAAAAAAAAAATATTTTTCGCGTTATAACGCGAAACTTTCGCGAATAAACGCGTAATTTTCGCGTTATAACGCGTAACTTTCGCGAATAAACGCGAATTTTTCGCGTAATAACGCGTAACTTTCGCGAATAAACGCGTAATTTTCGCGAAACTTTCGCGTTATAACGCGTAATTTTCGTGTTATAACGCGTAATTTTCGCGAATAAACGCGAAACTTTTGGTTATAACGCGAAACTTTCCCTGTAAAACAGAGACATTTGCATAAGTCTACAGTTTGTTTTACTATTTAATGATCTAGTTTATTCATTACAATGAAAAACGAAAGACTATTTTGAACTTGGATTATCACGAGCTGAAATTTTATGTTTTCTCGCCATTGAATGTGTCTCTCCTCTTTTTAACTCTTTTTTGCCGTCACATTTTGTCTTTCTCAATGCTGTTCAATACAAGTGTTGAAGCGTATAGTAGAGGAGCGAAAATACAAGTCTAATTTTAATTAGATTGAACACTCTCTATAGAATTGGAAATAAAAGATCTCAGAAAATTGACAACAATGAGGTATATTTGTATATTTCACGGAACAATAGTGTCACATCACATGAGTAACCTAATGTGAAAATTGGATGACAAATATTTGTGTCAAATATTTCATCTCCGATAGACTCACTGTAGAAATACAACATTGTATTTTAAGGTTGCACCACTTGGTCATACCATTATTTACGAAAATATTGACAATTTATTCAAAGAAAGCAACGAGTGGAGATCTTCCTGAGAAAAAAAATTAGTCTACAGAATTTCTTGGATTCAACAAGTGAAAAACAAGAAAATCTTTAAAGGAATATTCATTTAAATAATTAGAAGGGTTTTGAGATTAAATGCAAAATCAACACTAATCTATCCATTTCTCGCATCAATTCTCTTTTACATTTTCTGAAGAAATGTCATTTATAAATTCATAGAAGTCCCCCTCTCCGTTCATGTTTTTTATCTGTCAGTCAAGATCACAGGTTCCTGAGTAACATGACTATAAATGTATAATTTCGCGTTATAACGCGAAAGTTTGGGTTTATTTGCGAAAGTTACGCGTTTATTCGCGAAAGTTTCGCGTTATAACGCAAAAGTTACGCGTTATAACGCGAAAGTAACGCGTTTATTCGCAAAAGTTATGCGTTATAACGCGAAAGTTACGCGTTTATTCGCGAAAGTTACGCGTTATAACGCGAAAAATATATTTTTTACCTAGGAAAATGAGCTCAATGGGCTTTCGTAATTTTGCTTTATGACAAGCTACGTAATATGGAAGAAATATTGATCATAAAAGTTTTACAATAAATCTCAAACTAGTCCTCAAAGAAGTGCATTTCTTTAACAGATTGATTCCCAATGACGTGTTTTAATTTCAACTTGTGTTCATAATTGTATGATAAGTTGCTTCATTTTTCTCTTGCAGTGATGTGTCCGATCGTTTGGGTCCCCGCGGTTCGTTCGATGTCAGCGTTATTCCTAGTGACTTTCTCTTGTACGATCAGAACAATCTACTGATGAAGAGAAACACAATAGCAGACTTTTCAGGTAAGTCTCGTGTGTTTCCCTGTCGCCAGTGCACACGATTCCGCGAATTATGTATGTAGTAATAGAATATTTACCTGACTATATATTCAGCTATGATAGAAGGTATCATTTTAGAATTTTGGATATTGAGTAGTGCTGTTTCAGAGGAGAAATGCTCTGGCTAGTCTTTTTTTCCACAATTTCAGACCACCGAAAAGGGAAATCGTCATTTAATTTAATTAAAAAAGTAAGTCATATTATTTACAAATAGGCTTGATATAAGTGTTATTGAAAATTGTAAACTTTACTGAAAATTGTAAACTTTACAATGCCTCCACTAGCGGTTATTCCTTGGAATATACAAGAAATATATTTAAAAGCATCTTCTGAAGGAACCCGGGCCACAAATACTGTAGGTTCCTTATTTTTTGCGAGTATTTATTATCGTGAAATGGCTCTTTAACGTAAAATCGCGAGAACAACAATTCGCGAATTGACGGTTGATCAAGATATTTTTCATGGATTTCACCACCATTAGAATAAAAGCGAGTAATTTTACACTTATTTCTATGGAACGCCAAATTAACATATATTCAAATATTTGAACCTATCTTTAAATAATTGTACCTATCTTCAAATGAATTGTACCTATCTTCAAATGAATTGTACCTATCTTTAAATCAATTGTACCTATCTTCAAATGAATTAGAGATAGGTATAATTCAATTATACCTATCTTTAATTCATTTGAAGATAGGTACAACTGATTTGAAGATAGGTACAAATGCAATGAATTGAAGATAGGTATAATTGATTTAAAGATAGGTACAATTGAATTGAACCTATCTTTCATTACTAAGATATTGGCAATAATAACTCTCCCTTCATTATACGTCATTTCTGTTACGACACTTTCGGGGTACTCGGGTATATATATTTTTTCGCTCAAATCATTTCCCTTGGGGCTATAATGAGATCCAAGTTTTACAAAAGAATATATAACTCCTTTAAATGACCCAAGGCAACAGTTCATTACTGATGTACCAGTAGCATCCCTATGTAATGCAGACTCAAGTTTATTCAATGCCTGTCCCAAGGTCTATACAATGGGGCCAGATTTGGGTAACAAAGTTTTACGTAGAAATACATTAATACTAAGTATTCGCAAAAGACATTATGGTGACTAATTTGAGCATTTTGGCTCATGTCTTGCAGATGAGAGCTCGAAGTAAGGAATCCCTAACTTCCTTAGAGGACTTACTGCGTAAAATGAAACCTACAGAATTCAAAGACAACCACTTATCTATTTACAAGGTGAAAAATATCTTCATCCTGAAAGTTCCAAATGTTGGTTCCCTCAATGTCCTTTTTTTAATCTTTAAGATTTCTATCAATTGACAGTCCTTACATTGGACGGACCTGATTGCGAGTTCAGACAAGTCACCTACAAACATCGCTCTACCTGAAGAAGAACTGAAACGTCGTGAGGCGGTCTGGGAACTTTTCAAGGCAGAATGCGTTTATCTTATAGATCATTTGATGGTGTTAAAGCATGCAAGTATTCTTACATATATTGTATTCTTATGAAGTTGTAAACTTGAGCACACTCAATCCATGGTCATTTTTATGCCCCTGTATCGAAGATTTGGGGGTATATAGTTTTTGCCCTGTCCGTCCGTCTGTCTGTCTGTTTGTCTGTTTGTCCGCAAAAACTTTAACATTGCCCATAACTTTTGATTGGTTTGAGCTATGGCTTTCATATTTCACATGTGTATTCCTTGTGACAAGACCTCCTTTCTTTGGGTACCACCATATTTGACCTTTTGACCTTGACCTTGGAGTTTGACCCAGTTTTGCAAAAGTTTACCAAACTTTAACATTGACCATAACTTTTGAACAGTTAGTGCTAGAGCTTTTGTAATTCACATATGTAATTATTGTGACAAGACCTTCTTTTGGATACCAACAACTTTGATCCTTTGACCTTGACCTTGGAGGTTGACCCAGTTTTGCAAAAAACTTTAACATTGGCCATAACTTTTGAACGGTTGGTGCTAGGGCTTTCATACTTCACATATGTAATCCTTGTGACAAGACCTTCCTTTTGATACCAATTACTTTGACCCTTTGACCTTGGAGTTTGACCTACTTTTGGTAAACGTAAACCATAACTTTTGAATGGCTGGTGCTAGGGCTTTCATATTTCTCATATATAAGACTTTTGAAAAGACCTTCATCTGGATACAAACAACTTTGACTCTTTGACCTTGACTTTGGAGTTTGACCCAGTTTTGCAAAAACTTTAACATTGGCCATAACTTTTGAATGGTTTGTGCTAGGGCTTTCATACTTCATAAATGTAATCCTTGTGACAAGACCTTCCTTTGGATACCAACAACTTTGACCATTTGAATCTTGACCTTGGAGTTTGACCTACTTTTGGAAAACTTTAACTTTGGCAATAACTTTTGAATGATTAGTGCTAGGGCTTCCATACTTCACATACGTAATTTTTGTAACAAGACCTTCCTTTGGATACCAAAAACTTTGACCCTTTGACCTTGGAGTTTGACCTACTTTTGAAAAACTTTAACATTGGCCATATTTTTTGAACGGTTGGTGCTACAGCTTTCATACTTCACGTATGTAATCCTTGTGACAAGACCTTCCTTGGATACCAACAACTTTGACAATTTGACCTTGACCTTGGAGTTTGACCTATTTTTGAAAAACTTTTACCTTGGCCATAACTTTTGAACGATTTGTGCTACGGCTTTCATATTTCACCTGTGTCTTTCTTGAGAGAAGGCCTCTCCTTGGGCACCATTAATTTTGACCATTTAACCTTAACCTTGATGTTTGACTTACTTTTGAAAAACTTTAACCTTTTCCATATCTATTCAATGGTTGCTACTAGGGCTTTCATATTTCACAGGTATATTTCTCGAGACGAGACCTTACTTTGGGTATCAACATATTTGATTTGCATTTGAGAAAGTTTAACCTTTGCTATAAGTTGCCATACGGGGGCATCATTGTTTCACAAACATATCTTGTTTCCCTTTAGTGTTTCATGGAACCTTTGAAAAAGTTGCAAGTAGAAGGTTACATAATGTTTGCAGAACCACAGGATCTCCTTGGCAACTTGGACGAGTTATGCTACGTATGTCTTCATCGTTTGATAGTGTTTTGTTGATTTTGAATATTAAGATTCTTTGTGGGTTTCAGATTTCTCAAACAAATGATATTTTTACAGGTGAGTTACACGTTTTGTAAAGATTTCATCGCGTCCCTTCTGAAGGACATAAGCACTACTAGTTTCGGTAGCACGGACGTATTAGTCCGGTCCTTTGAGAGAGTAAGTAACTTCACAGTCTGACTTACATTGTATTGTGGTATTGTCATAGCAGTGTGTAGGATATATTCATTATTACTTCATTTAGTTCACCACTCACTCGCGGGATGGAGGGGTCTATCACACGTACTGTCTAAATTACGCCAATGCTCTACCCTACTTACACCAACTCCGCAAAAATGAAGAGTTTGCAGAGTTTGAGAAGGTAACATATCAGTTTTCTGTAACATATACAGTACATATACAATAGTCAGGGTGGTAGTAACATGTCTGTGTGTTTGTCAATAGTGGTGCAGCCAGGATCCTAGATGTAACAGACTGAAGCTGACGGATCTATTGGTGGCGCCACTCCAACACTGTACAAAGTTCCCCTTACTTCTGGGAAATGTGAAGAAGTACACATCAGATGAGGAGGAAAAGAGTGCTCTAGCTGATCTCATTGAGAAAGTCAACTCATCATTACGTGAGTATTAGGGCTCCTAATAGCAGTAGTACTGTGGTGGCTCTGTGCTGTGCTTGGTATTCTGTCTCAAGATCCATAAAGCCATATTTTTTTATTTACTACAGAGAAAATGGAAGATAAAATGAAGTGGGCAAAAAATTTTGAAAGACTGGAAGAGATACAAAAGCAGTTGATATGGCCTCCAGTATCTGAGTTAGCCCCCAGGGCCTTCATACCAGAGGTTTGTTACCATTGCACACTCATTAATAAAATAATTATGAAATGTATTTTAAAGTTTTTTGGTGTATTTTGTTGTAATTATTACTACAAATATTGATGGAGAGAAATCATAATTTTAGAGGAACTTGCACAGTATCAATCATAAACATTGTAAACTGAATGCTTTTCCCCCTCAGTTTCTCAGGTCCAGTTTACTCCAACAACCATGTGAAAACTTTCTGGCTACCCAGGACCGACAATTACTATTTGAAGGATATGTTGTTTTAAACGGTACTTTTTGTGTTGCCTGCTAAAGCAGAGTGACAAGGTTTCATTTTTAACCATAAGAGGCAGGAGTGAGATACATGAGATAGTTAACATTGTTATTTTTACTTGTCCAAAATTCTTTAAGAAATTCTTAAGTACAGAGTGATTTTGTGACGTTGACCTTTGAACCTAAGTTTCATTTTAACCTAAATATTGCTGTATTCAGCAATGTGTTCCTGAAAACACATAGTTATATCTATTACAACCAGAAAAAAAATGAATTAAAAGCAAAAAGTACTTTACACAAATGTAGCTTGATTTTTTTCTTTCATTTTAGAAAATGGGAAAGGTTCTGACATTTATTTATTTGTATTTGATGATGTCTTGTTGCTGACAAAACCAAAGAAAATCCATAGAAAGGTAACTTAAATGTATTGAAAATATTAACTGAGTTCTCTCTGCTGTAATACTTATTTTAACGAAGTATTTTTCACCAGAAACACTCCCTGGACAGTTCTGCCATGATGGCACAGATGGTATTAGCCAATGAGAAAAGGATTTACACCGTGTACAGACAACCAATCGCTGTTGATCGGTTGTGTCTATATGACGTCAGTCAATCAGAAGCTTCTGGTAAATATATTGAAGTCATCATACACACTGTCAGACAAAATCAAATTCTTCATTGTTGATTTTAACTGGTATATTTTGAAAAATAAAGAAATTTTCTTACAAACTTTCTTAATTTGGGACATAAAAAAGGTAATTAACGAGGTTCGCTCCTGAGCTTTTAAGCAGATTTTTGTCTTAACCTATATTTGAAAAATTCTGCATAATGTTTTAGTTCTTACAATAACTTTGGATTCTACAATACCAATTAAACGATATTCAGTTAAAACTCCATGATTAAGTTCCATACCAAAAGCATTAAGAGAGGAACTATATCTTGTGGCGGATGGATTTTTAGAAGAAAATGATCATTTTTTTCTCTTTCAAAGTTTTTGAAATATGTTAAGTTTGGATTCCCATTTTTCCATGCAGCCTGCACACAGAGTTACTCTGTGCCGTGAACTGTTTCATCCTGGTCCTAAATTATATATTAAATAAACTATCATGAATTTTATCATCATATTTAATAAATATAGCAAATATATTGCGAAAATACAGAAAAAAAATAGCCCTAACTTTTGCTTAAAATTAGCACTATTTTAGTGTTATCTAAAAATTAACATCACAGGCCCTCACTTTTTATTTTATTTTCTGAATATATAAGATACTTTTAACCATTCTACTTAAATTCAGTAAAATGTCATTACTTACAAATGATTTTATTGCTTGTTAAAATTTTCAATGCCAGAAAAATGATATTTTTGAGTGCAAAAAGGTCAAATAATTAAACATGCGAAGTAATTTTAAAAAGTTTTGTTGTCACAAATTTTAATGTATCTATTCAAAATGAAATAAGACTGTGTTTGTTCCCATAATTTATTTGAATAAAAAAATATTGGAAGGAAAACTTTAAAAATTGAATCATGTGTAAGATGTATTTACAGTGCAAAAAGGTCAAACTAAATGCCCTGTAGCGCCAAAAGAAGCGCATTGACCCCCATTTTTTGTTTTCATTTTTAATTAAGCTACGTGTGTAGATTCTAAAAATATATTTGATAAAAAATTCTCATTACTTTTGACGACAGGATCCAACCTCCTTAATGTGGGGATTTAAAAGCTGTCAAAGAAAATAAAGGCAATTTTTTCTTATGGATACATTTCCATTTTAAGAATGAGATTGTGACAATAAAATGAAATTCAATTTTAATGTTTCAGATCAGAGAATTTTATGTAGCTTTAAAAAAAAAAGAAATATTATGCATTTTCAAATGCATTAAATTTTATAAACCTGCTTTAGTTGATTTAAAACCTCATAAATCAATTGATATTGAGCTTTTGGTTGAACTCGAGTTATTTGCTATTTAGAAATTGCTAAGTCTCTCTCTTATATATTTCCTTAACCTTAGTTTCTCCCATTTTTTTCCTTCTGCAGTAAATGGGTTGAAGAATGCTATAGTGTTGGTGCAGTTTAATCGTTATCATCAAATAATTGATGTCCTAACGATACAGTGTGGCCTGGAGACAACCAAAGTAAGTCATATGGTTTCACATTTTGTTTCATTTTTTTAATCAAAGAACGTACTTTTTTTAATGCAATTTTTTTTTTCTAGAATTCTTTAATGGAGAAGCTGCATGAAGCTATAGGAAATCAAAGAACAGCTTCTGGGTTCACAAGTCGCACCAATTCCGTGTCCGAGGTCTCAACATGACCAGAGTCACAAGGAGATGCCCATGTCTTTCATTGCTTATCAATAAGTCATCCCGCAAACATTCCACATTTTCCTTTCTACATTAAACCTAGAAATCTTACTGTTTTGATCATGAACTGTCTTACCTTATTACTTTCTAAAGATCATGATTGTTTAATATATAAAATACACTGGAATCACACCAGTGGGAGGCACTCAAAATCTGTATGGTTTCAATGATTTTTTCTTTTAAAAACATAGCATAATGCTACCATTAAATTTAAATTTAAACAATCTTCACTGAAAAATATGGTTACACAATTTCACAATTCAAAAAAAAAAAAGAAAAACAAAAAACCCCAAAAAACTTTCTTTATAATTTAATAGGAAATATGGTGAGAATGAGATCTAGTATAAAACATCCCTAGTTGCTCACAAAAAAGTGCAGAGACAAAAAAAAAACAATGAATTGGAAAAAAGGAATTACAAATGTAAAGACATGCAGATATAAATATGGTGAGATTCATATACAACCATCTATAGAAAGTATGATGCTCTTTCCTGCATACAGAAATATCAAATACATGTATATGTAGTAAACAACCACCAGAAAAATTAAAACAATGAATGAATAATATATAAACAGACAAAATATGTAAATGCAGATGATTATCATGAAATACAATATGAAATGAAAAAAAGAGAAAATTCCCAATCCATTTAAGTTCCGTATTTTTTTTATAACTAATTTTGAACAAGAACAAAAACCCATCAATTTCCCACAGCTTCAATGATATTTTAAATGTATAACAATGGGAATTTCTATCATTCATAACATGAATACTGTACAACTTTTACATACATGTATACTTGCACTGATAATCAACTACATACACCTCTTGGAAAAATCTTGTACAGTTGTTAAAAACAAAACATGCAGCACTGACACCCAGCTCTGGAGGTTTTGGACATATAGCTGGGAATGTTAATTGGAATAATGACAATGATATAAACAATAGACATTGAAAGAGTGACACTGAAAGCTGCGTAGATAATAAATAGAGGTCCAAGGGAAACACTGTTGTTCCTTTAGGCTCAGGTGAGTTAAAATTACACCAAATCATAATACATGTAATGCTTATAAAACATGATTTATAGGGCAAAACATTGGTTCAAAAGACAACTAATACAGGTCAGTTACATATAAAGGTGATCAACACTTCTGAATAAGAATAAATTATGGCATAAAAATATTAACAACAAGTACAAATACATACTTACAAATCATTGTAACAGGATATAGTTTGTTACATTTGGCACAAAATCACACAAATTATGCAAAGTATAGCGAAGGTTTTTTAAATTTCCTGTATCTTTGGTCGCTGTCAGAGGTAAGTATTATCATGTTACATATTTCTTCGCACGCCCAAGGAAACACATGAGCATTATTGCACAATGTTAATACATATAAGTACAGAGGTTCACTTTCCTGACATAAAAAGCTTGTCATGGTATATAAAAGGGGAAATATTATGCACATCAATAAAAATATCCTCATGTTGTCACACAAAATGTAAAGCAATAATTGTTGTATAATCTGTACCATATTTTTAAAGAGTTTCAAGCATGAGGATAGAAGAAGGAACTTCTTTCGGCATAACAATGCATCATAAAAATTTCAAATCAAGGCAGAACATTTGTTCACCCATTCATCAATTAAAAAGAAAATTCACTCATTCAGAATCAGAGAGAATCTTAAAAAGGACTCATATTCTTCCTTATCCACAGATTCTTAAAGGAGAGCAATCATTTTTTTTTTTACTTTGCGATGATGTTCACTTCAACATTAAATAGTGAAACATGAATAATCATGTATATCAAATACTTGCTCATACTCTCCTTAGTCTCCTGACACATATAGAACAGATATTTATTAGGAACTGTACTTGTCCAGTACAAATAATCTGGGTATCAAAAGCTGTAAGTTACACAGGGAGAATTCCACCATACAGAGCTTCATGGTAATCTTTGGGGAATATCTTTTATCAGGCCATTCCTCATGATAATCTGGCGAGTGTAATGGTTAGGAGAGTGGCGACCACCACCAACACGATAGACACCTGGGTAGACAGTGGTCCACCACACCCTGGGTTAGTCTCCTGAAACAGGGAGATGTAAACTATAAATATGATACCAACAAATACTTTTAGTGCACTGCTTATAGAGGTGAACGATACAGCAATACATCGATCGTATTGATCGTAAGGGCTCACGATACGCGTATTGTATCGCCATATACGTACCGTGATACAGTACAAGATAATTTTCATTGTTTTGTTTGAAACTTCTACATACAACCTAACAAATTTTAATGTTTTAAAATGGCTGAAAAAAAGGTAACAAAAAAAAAATACAATGTCAAAACTATAAATCCATCTTTAAACTTTGGTCACGGGTATCAAGATTTCTATAACTTTGGAGGTTAGCAAAGAATAATATGCTAAGATAATGGTTAATTCAATTGTTGACAGCTGTATAATGACACATGTTGTATTGCATGACCATATCGTGATATGTATCGTATCGTTAGGTAGCTTGCGATACTCAGGCCTAACAACATAGATAATTACAGGAATTAATCAGTCTTACCCTGTCATCAAAATCATAACACTTGGAAGTATTGTTTCTGTATCTTGCTGTCTGGTTGCATATATCTTGATCTGAAATGTCAGTAAACAAACTGCAATCACCTTAAAATCTGTTAAAAATGTGACAATGAATGCTACCACCACACTTGTACCTAATCTGACCATTATCTTTACTGATGACCATTATCTTTACTAATGACCAATACTGGACCATTACCTTTACAAATGACCGATATCTGACCATTATCTTTACTAATATCTGACAATTATCTTTACCAATGACCAATATCTGACGATTATCTTTACCAATGACCAATATCTGACCATTATCTTTACTAATGACCAATATCTGACCATTATCTTTACCAATGACCAATATCTGACCATTATCTTTACTAATGACCAATATCTGACCATTATCTTTACCAATGACCAATATCTGACCATTATCTTTACTAATGACCAATATCTAACCATTATCTTTACCAATGACCAATACCTGACGATTATCTTTACTAATGATCAATATCTGACCTGCAGTCTGCATTTCTACAGGCTCCTGTATAAGATCTTTAGATTTAGCAGATTCATAACAATCAGGACAGGCTGAACTGATGACCACAAACAGAAGATTACTATTAGGTACCAGTCTGGCCACGTAATCTCTGTAACATAAAACAGACAATCAATCAAAGAAGAGTCGCATCTAAATAAGAACATGTCAATAAATAATGGTGAACCCTGTCATCATGATTTGTGATGGGAAAAAAATCCGTCTTTAAAGATTAGTTCCTGAGAATTGGGTCAGAACTTGTACCTTGTGCAGTTTTCATTACAAGGGTAGACAATTCCTTCCACATCTTCTTTGAAGTTGGGGTTAAAATAATACTGAGCTCTTTTCTTGCTGCAAATGTACTTCTTTGGTTCCACTGAAATGGAAATTGAAATGTAGGTCATTTGAAAATATATTTTTTATTTAAAACTCAAGGTAAATTGGAACATACTGTATGTTTTATCTGAACAGAAACACACATTTTAAATGTTTTTGTTGTTATTGTAAAATCCAATAAAATAACTTGCTTACCATTCCCTCACAACAATTCCATAAAACCCAGTCAAAACACATACATACTTTAACTGCATCTTTATGTAAATGTATCATTCAAAAATATGAAATATTTATATTCTTAACATTCCATTTCATTAAAATTTTCAAAAACTGAAGATTGAAAAACTGAGAAATACTATTTTTGCAAATTCTACCAACTCTAGAAAAATTTTGAAACCCTAAAAATACCATATCTACAATAAGGTTGATATTTCACAGACCTGGGCTGGGATTCATAAAACTTCTTAGTATAATCTTAAGTTAAAAAAATCACTTAAGTTTTATATTTTATACTTAAGTCCCCTAAGTATTACTTAAATTTGGTAGAAATACTTAAGTGTAATTCATAAACATATTTAGTGCTTGAGTATTGACTTAAAGTTAAGTGTCCTCAGGAGGTGTCTTAAGTAGATAAGAAATACTTAAGTTTTCTTTATCAAAATAAAAATAATGCTTTACCGAAGACATTTTACTCTTTCAGTAAGAAACCATGCTATTACATCCAACTAGAAACTTGTTTTGACTTTGAGATGTTTATCAACTGGTAAGATGCAGTATTGTGCAATGTTGATGACAAAGTTGTATCAGTTGTGATGTAATACACATGGAACTAAATACCTCCATCACAAAAGAGTGCGCTTTTTGTTCGGGAAATTTTATGCGTTGCTAGGGTGACCTAACTTAAGTGCTATAATTTTCTCAGAATTAAACTTAGCTAAGAATTGCACTTAGAATTTATATGAATATGACTTAAGAACTTTTTCTTGGCTAAGAATTTATTTTATACTTAAGTGTGAAACTTAGCACAAATCTTAAGTATGTTTATGAATCCCACCCCTGAGCTACAAGTCTGAGCGGCTAAAAAAAGAACACTTACTCTGAAAAGCTGCAACGGTGGGTGGGGGGCTAAACCAACTGGAAAAAGATGCAAAATATTGGTATATTGACATAATATCGATATAGTGTAGGTGAAAAGACTCATCTCATATCTGATACTGAAAAATAAAGACTGTATTTACCTGTATACATTCAAATTAACGACAGCCCTGAAAAAAAATGAGTTTAGATTAATTTCATGAAAAAAAGTTTTTATACATATACTTCCAGTAGTTGTTTTAAGTCAAAAATTTCTATAATTTGAGGGCAAAATATATTTTATATAAATAAATATAATGATACATATTACAAATAAAGATTAATGACTGTTTAATGAGTAAAAATTTTTTTAGAATTAGAGAAAAATGTATAATGATTTTTTCTTAAAAATGTTTAAAGGGAGGTAACTCATTAACTCTGATACAATGACATCAACATTCCTCAGAAAAGGTGCATACTTACCAAGTCCATACACTGCTCCACCAGTTAAAAGTCAGAAACTCAAATAGTAAAGTAACGGAAGGCTGAAAAGACAAATCATCATCATCAATCAGTCTGTCAAATTAATAATTCTCGTACAGATATAAATTAATGATTCAAATACATATCTAAGAGTAACAAGTGTACTGTGTACTTATTCTACAGGGTTTCATATTGGCATTTGCACACTGATATTGGCTTTTTCACGAACACAATCTAAACACAGTTTAATGCTGTATTAGTATTACATACAATTCTAAATCCCAGAGGAGCAGCACTTGTCTGATTTCCCCAGTCTATACATGTGGCCTGATAGTCAACTTCTTCTATCCTGAAATCAGATTTACACTGTTAACCTGGTTACTCTACAGACACTTACATCCTGTTATGTGTAGTTGTTATATATATTCATAATATCTGATACATTTTATAACACATAGTGTGACTTTTTTGTAAAATATACATCAAAGAAAATAGAGGTACTTGAACAGGCTCACAACATTATCCCCCTACTGCATTTTTTAAACGAACTAATTCAGAGAATTTGTGTCCCCTGTTCAGGGAAAAAAGAAGAGCATGCGCAATTCTGGGGGGGTGGGGGTCGGACTCCCCCCCCCCCCCCCTTGGATTTGTAGAATTATTAAATGTACACATGTATATTGAAGCAAATAAAAAATGCCAATATGGATATAAAGATTTGATTGCTTATTCTTTAAAATGTGTATAGAAGATTCTTTTTATATAGAATATTTATCACACTGTAATAATGATTTTATGAGTTTGTACACACCAGACGTCATAACTTTTTCATTTCGCATGTTGAATACTATCATTTAGTTAATGAAAAAAAAGAAAAAAAAAGGTTTGTTTGGGATTTGAACCCGGGTCTCTCGCTTGCTAAGCCAGCATCATACCACTAGACCACGGAGGCACTTGATTATACAATAGATTAAATGCAAACAGAAGGTCACATACAATGTTTATATTCACGTTCGTTATTGTCAAAATTTTACACAATACATATTGTCTAATTTAGCCCTTACTAAACAGTTCTAATAGATGTAATTAGAATATAAAGTCCGCCGACAACCTGTATTATACGTAATAACTCTCCACATGCCCCTGTGCTAAAAATAGTGCCAAGCGACTTTTAATACAATAAAAAAAATGGGGCGGGACACTTTTAGAGGGGCTCGAGAGGCCATACAGAGTTATGGAATAAAATTTCATTTCAAAAGCTCAAAAGCTTCTTGAGATATCGCCCGGAAACGAAAGTGTTACACAAAGAGGGAATTTATAAATTAATGACCTTGAACTTTGACCTTTTGACCTCAAAATCAATAGGGGTCTTCCTTAGGTCACAGGGAGATGTTGTGTAAAATTTCATTGCAAAAGCTCAAAGAATTCGCGAGATACAGCATGGAAACAAAAGTGTTAAAACTGACAGAATTTATGAATTTATGACCTTGATCTTTGACCTTTTGACCTCAAAATCAATAGGGTTCTTCTTTAGGCCATAGGGAGTTGCTATGCAAAATTTCATTGCGAAAGCTCAAAGGGTTCTTGACATATCGCGTGGAAACGAAAGTGTTACAGACAGACAGAAATACCGACGGACGGACAGACGGATGGACGGACAGACCCAAATTAATATTCCCCACTTTCGGTGAAAGCAGGGGACAAAAAGTTTACAATTACATTTTCCAAAAACTAAAAATGACCCTGAAATTGCAAGAAAATGACATCTAGTCATAAGTAGTCTTTGTTTGAAGTATGAACTTTAAATTCTTCTCAAATAGAAAATAATGGACAAGACATTTTATACTTTTTCTGCCAGTGAACTTAGCTTGCAAAAATAATTTTCCAAAACTTCCCTTTGTAGAAAAATTGAAAGTTCAAACTTCACACAACTATTCTGACCTGAAGGTGAGCATTAATCTTGACCCAAGGTCATTTGGACAAGTTCAAGTTAACTTAAAGAAAAATGCACTTGAAAACTTAAGAAAACATAGGTAAAGATTACAAAGCTCATCTTGGTGAATTTTATCTGAAAGTAAAGCAAAGTTTCACACCAAACAAATGTTCTGGTAGTGTGCACAACTAGATGCAACATCTATACAGTCAGGTTTGGTCTGGGTAGGACTTATAGTTACTTGGGAATGGGGCCTGCTCCAATAACTTTAAACTGCTCAATCATTTGGAAAATGTTAGTCAGATCAAGCATCTTTCAGCAAGTCTGGTAGTATGCATGCCTAGATGCATCATCCATGCATGTTTGGTCAACAGGGTCTATTGTTACTTGGGAATGGACTTGCTCCAATAACTTTCACCTGGTCTATCAACTGGAAAATGTAGGTTGGATCCAGCATCCAAAGCAAGTCTGGTAGTGTACATCCCTAGATGCATAAATTATGCAAGTTTGGTCCAGATAGGACTTATAGTTACTTGGGAATGACCTGCTCTAAAAAAATTTTAACATGGTCACTCATTTGGAAATCTTAGTTCAGATCCAGAATCCATCTCTAGATGCATCCTTCATGCAGGTATGGTCAACAAAGGCTTTATATTTACCCGAGAATGAAGCTGCTCCTAAAACTTTAACCTGGTCACTCATACGCAAAATGTAGGTCAGATCCAGCATCTGAAGCATATCTGGTAGTGTGGATTCTTAGATGAATCAATCATGCAAGTTTAGTCCAGGTAAAGCTTATAGTTGCTTAGTAATGGACTGGCTCCAAAAGCTTCAATCTGGTCACTCATCAGGAAAATCTATACTGGGTTCCAGTGTCCAAAGCTAGCTTAGTGGTGTGCATTCCTAGATGCACCATCCATGCAGTTTGGTCAACATAGGACAAACAGTTCTTTGGAAATTGAGCTGCTCCCAAAATGTTAACCATGTCATTCAACTGGAAAATGTAGGTTGAATCCAGCAACTGAAGCAAGTCTGGTAGTGTCCATCCCTAGATGCATCATCCATGCAAGTTTAGTCCTCATAGGGTTTATAGTTACTTGGGAATGGACTTAATTCTAAAAATTTAACTGGGATGCTAACCCAACTTCTAATATATAGCAAATGACCTTTGGTCATAAGCAATCTTTGTATTAAGTATGAACTTCCAATGATTCTCCATTAAAAGATATAGTTAAGAGACAAAAATTATACTTTTTGCTATAAATGATCTAGAAGTTAACCAAATGACCTTGGGTCATGGTTATGACATTCCTTTATGTAAGCAATTTTTGTGTATGGTATGAACTTTCGATGTTTCTCCAATAGAAAGTTATGGACCGGACACAATTTTCACTTTTTTGGCGGTGACCTTTGATTTGCCAAAATGATTTTGGGTCAAGGCCATGACACACTTACATCATAAGCAATCTATGAGATAAGTATGAACTTACAAAGTTTCTTCATTACAAGTTATGGTTGTGCCCTAGACTCAATTCTGAGGACAAAGAACAAATGGACAAGGCAATGACTATAATAACTCCCATCTCCCCTAAACTTTGTTTGTGGGGGTAAAACTAGACTTATAGTGGTCATGTTGTCCTGGAGCATTAGACTTTATTTAATCAAATGTACTCCTATATAAAACTGTGACCCAATCCTTGTTCAAATGGCTATAGTTTCAACAAACCGAAATTTTTACTACATGAGGATGATTGCATATTACGTGGATTGACAAGATTCTTCAGGTTTTCCTCCATATTCCAAAGCAAACCTTTGACTTCCTTCCTTATGTGACCTCCACTTACCAATAATTTGCACACAGTTAAATCTTTACCATCATGGAAAATATGTGTTTAAATTTTTTTTTTTGCTCATTGTTTTTGAGAATTTTTTATATTAAATGACACACACCTACATTTTTTTTTGTTTTGTTTTTCATTTTATTATCTTTTTGAAGGGAGTTACCCTTTCACTTGAATAATTTTGAACTCCTTTGCCTAGCTTATTCTTGAAAATTTGTATTTGAAGAGTTGACGGATCAACTGATGGACAGAGAAATAAAATAGATCATGGAGAAACTATGATCAGAAAAGCTCACTCGAGCCTCTGGTAAACTAGAAAGCACTAAATACATTTCCAAATGAATTACAAATTTAACATTCCTTAAGGTCAAGATCTAGAAATGAAAAGAGCCTACAGATTCCTCAAACTTGAGAAATAAATTCCTTTTATGATGCTTTATAACTATAGCTCAGTCAAATAAGGTGTATCAGGGCATAATTTGTAGAAAAACAAGACGAAAAATCATTTTGTAAACTGTCATTTCAATGAAAAATTAAGAAATCCAGTCATGAATATGGGAGTTTTTTCCATATCAGACAAAGGAAATGTATCCAGATTGCCTACAGTCTCTCAGAAAACAGTAATTTGTATGTTCTTAGCCTCTTCTTTAAAATAATGTAAAATTGAATATAGGTATCAAGATTACTTTTCACATGATTTCAAATTGAATGCCATAAAAATACTTTATTTTCTACATAATTCTATTTGAGCTGTGAAGTACGGGAAAAGGAAAGTTTAAATAGATTATGACATCATAATGGATCTAGCACCAAAAAGACAGTCTAAAGTCATTCACTAGAAATACACATTTTTCTGTTATGACTTATCTTAGAATACCTTGAATAAACTTTTCCATACAACTGTGCCATGAGACCAGCATCCACGTGACCCAAAAACCGCCCTATCTGTAATGAACACAGTCTTACAACATGTGTCAATAAATATTTCTTTATAATGATATATGTACATGCAAGTTCTTTGTATCAAACTTTTTTAATATTGTCATTTAAATTGTAGAGGTGGAATGATACATGCCATATGATACATATCAGGGTTCTCCACATTTGAAAATTTAACCATGGAGGAAGATGAGTGAAAGGGAGATGTGAACAAAAGCACTAAGGCGTGTTAGACTCTCTAAGCTTCATAATCAATGATTGATTTCACTAAAATTTAACCATTGCAAAACAAGAAAATGAAATACCCCCCCCCCCCCCCCCAACAAATTTAAAGAAAGAAAGAAAAGAAAATTAAAAAAAATAATACAATATAAGGATTATGTATCTTAATTTACAACAGTACCAAATGTACCAAAATTGGACCAAAACTGTAGGATCGTTTAAAAAGAATTTAATTTTTTTTAAAAATTTTAAAACATGTATATAGTAAACATTGCAACAATGTTCGTCGAATTTTACTCAGAAACTAATAAAGAGAATTGATCTTGCCTGTCGCATGATAAGTTTTATTTTTAAAAATAGGACCAAAACTGATGAAGGAGTAGAATTTTGAAAAAAAAAATTACAGACACAGAAACGAACACCAACATCTTAACATTGCCTGAGCTCTTAACTGCATGGTCTTTGAAAACTTACTGATCATGCTGATAGTATAAGTATCAAAACTTAATATAACCAAGGGCATAAATTTGAAATACAATATAACTGTAACATTGCTTTTTCTGCTCTGTTCTTTCTAAAAGTTTTTTTTTCTACACTGCGTTTTTTGCTTTTTTTCTTCCATTCTTTACTTCTCCTTGTGCCCCACTGCTAAAAATAGCGCCACACACTTTTCATAAAAACGGGAGATAACTCTAAAACTTGGACGTGGTGATTTGCATCCATTTAATAGAAAAATAATAAAATTAATATTTAAAAATGGAGTAAGAGGAATTCTAAAATTAAATACAAGGGATAGGAAAATTCTTTTTGCATGGCCACAGAAACTTGATTCGAATGCTTGTCGATTATTAGACATAGTTACGTTACTGCGCGCTGTGTTATCTTTTTGTAAATTTGTTATTACATGTATATAGTGAACACATTGGAGTTCCCCGAAATTACAGGGGACTGTGTACTGAAAAATTAACTCTCAAAATATTGATCATCAACTGATTGACTCTCAATTGTCATGCTTCACGGTATTCACCGATCAACAACTGTGTTTGTTTAGCACGTACAGTCCGCTTTCTCTCAAGGTGCATGCCAGCCGTAGTATAAACACAATTAACTACTCAGGTCATAAAAAATTAAGTGTCAGTACTGAAATGCATTAAAATTTAATCATGGCGGCCTCCGATTTTAACCATGGCGCAGCTCGTTTAACCATGGCGCCCATAAATTTAACCATGGCGGGCCGCCATGGTAAAACCCCTTGTGGAGAACCCTGCATATCTTGATACATATAATATTATAAATCAATAAATCAACAAAATATTTTATATCAATCACATGTGTTTTGAAATTGATATTTGTAGATATTATACTTTCATGTAAATTAGTTGAATCTGATTCGTCGAGAAACATTTGTTAAAAAACACTATTACCCGCTGAATAATGAAGCCACGCCCACCAGCGTAGCAACAGTTAACACTGCTTGACGACGGGTGTTATTCCAAAAAATAGCGACTGCGCAGAATTTATGCGCGCAAGGTTCACTGTTATATGTATTTATATAAAACATTCAGTATAATATAATAAATATTGCATGTAGTTGAGTGTAACATTGAAAATTTTCACCCCTCGAAAACCATTGTCAACCTCGGCTGCGCCTCGGTTGACAATGGTTTTCTTGGGGTGAAAATTTTCAATGTTACACTCAACTACATGCAATATTTATATATTCATCAATTTCATTAACTAAAAATTCACAAAAATAATATTACATGTATGTATTATATAAATATTGCATGTAGTTGAGTGTAACATTGAAAATTTTCACCCCCATAACTTGCTTAAGAGACTGAACATTTCTTATCCCATTTTTCGGCCATTCTAAAAAGTGAAAATGTTCCCCATATCTATAACTTATTGGTGCTAAATTGCATTTCCAATATCAATATAATCTCTTCGCTTCGTAACATTTGTTTACATGTCGCTTTTTTCCAAGACAACTTTTTTCATTTTCAATTTTTTGATAGGTTGTTCGTGTATTGTTTCGTACCAAAATTTCATTGCATGTATCGTAAACCAAATCTTAGCAGGAAATATCAGTCTGTATCGGTGTATCAGTATATCATCCCACTTCTAATAAACTGCTACTGGTTTGAAACATTTTTATGAGTTTAATATACTTTTTTCCTACTGACAGCTTTTCCAATTCTATTTTAATTTTTTTAGTCAACTGCATAAAATATGGAATTTTATTTTTATTTATCCCCCGACCCAATTTAAAAAAAAAAAAATCCTGTAAATCATTGTATAAAATAAGAGGCCCAAGGGCCTTAACGGTCACCTGAGTACAACAATTTAGAGGATCCATAAACTGAAAAATGAAGCTTTGTTGCCCAATAGCAAGAAAAATAGTACGATTATGATGAACAAAATAATTGGTCTAGTATTTTTCTATCTGTCCCCCATTTATCACTATTACCATGCAGACTTTTAACAAAATGTCTATATTATTACCTTTCACATTGGCCTCACTTGGCTTTTGAAGAACATTTAAGAAGATAAGTTATTTTTGTTTCATTTTTATTCATCTACTATTTCCAAGTCTACCTGATTATTAAATGTATGAAAGTACTTTTTGTATTATACAATAAATGTTCTTGCATAATTCTCTTATTCTATTAACCTTTCAAATACATTATCTACAGTGATTAATTATCAAAAGTGAATGGCAAAGGGGAATAACTTCACTCAATAGAATACAAATTAATAGAGCCCTGGCCAGGGCCAGAACACTTGACTAAATGGTCCAGATGTTCAAAATTCTGGTAAAAATACCCTGCTTATTAAAATTTTTACTCTGTTTGCTTCCAATATGCCCAAGAGCAGAGGAGATTTTCGAAGAAATAATGCATTTTCACTATTTAACACAGCCCTACCCTAACACCAGAACCCATGACCTTGGGTCATGAAAATTTACAAATTTGGAAGAGGTAACTATGCAATTAGATGAAAATTTTCAAAGAATTCACACATTTTCACTATAAAATCAAATAAAGCCCCCCCCCCCCCCCTTTCAGCGAAACAACAGAACCCCTGGGACCACAAGTTTGAAAAAATTTGTAAAAGCATCCTTGCTCATCATAACTATACACTTGTTTCTTTGCTTATAACCAAAAAAATATTTTGAAAGAAATTATGAATTTTCACTATATAATCAATAGAGCCCCCCCCCCCCCCTTCATCAGAACCCCTGACCCAGAGGCCATGAAATTCACAATTTTGAAAGAGGCAGCTATGCCCATCATAAATATGTACTTAGTTAATTTATTTAATACCCATGAGCAGAGAAGATTTTCAAAGATATAATGCATTTTCACTAAATAATCAATAGAGCCACACCCTAACACCAGAACCCCTGACCCAGGGGCCATGAAATTCACAATTCTGGAAGAGGCAGCCATGCTCATTAAAACTATGTACTTAGTTAGTTTATTTCATACCCAGGAGCAGAGGAGAAGATTTTCAAAGATTTAATGCATTTTCACTGTATAATCAATAGAGCCCCCCCCCCCCCCTCCCAACACCAGAACCCCTGACCCAGGGGCCATGAAATTCACAATTTTGGAAGAGGCAGCTATGCTCAACATAACTATGTACTTAGTTAGTTTCTCTAATACCCAGGAGCAGAGAAGAAGATTTTCAAAGAAATAATGCACTTTCACTATATGATCTATATAGTCCCATTCTAGCACCAGAACCCCTGACACTGGGGCCATGAATTTCACAATTTTGGTAGAGGGCTCAATGCTTATCACAATGATGCCAACAGTTTGACTGCTTGATGTCCAGGAGTAAAGAAGAAGATTTTTAAAGATTGCATTAATTTTGGTGGTTTTAGCCCCACCCCTCAGGCCCCAGGGGAGCAGGGACCATGAAATTCACAAATTTTGTTCCCCTTCACCAATAGATACTATATGCTAAAACTGGTTGAAATTGGTTGAGTGGTTTTAGAGAAGAAGCTGAAAATGTTTAAATGTTAACGCACGACAGACGACGACAGACAAAAACGGATAGCAATAGGTCACCTGAGTGACTCAGGTGACCTAAAAATGTTGACCATTAAATCAGCAATATATTTGAGTGATATTCTTGTTGCTATGCCTTACCTGATCCTTGTAGTCGGGATGACTGGCTGCTACCGTAAAAGCTCCGTCATCCACCAAGAAACATACAACATTATCCACATCCTTACAGCTGTATACAGAACTGGCACCATTTGATTCAGACATTGTGTTCATAAGGTCAACCAAGTAGTCATGGGTAATGATCATACCAACGACTGTAACACAACGATTATAAATTAAACAGGCCTAACTGATTTCTCTATAAGAATGATAATCATAAATACACAAACAAGGTGCTCATTCCTCTGACCAATCAGTTAATAGCATTTAGACAAACCCACAATAAAAATAAACTAGAACTGTCCAAAAGGGACACATACCCCCCGCTGGGTTTTTCAGAGAAAGTACCAAATCACTAATGTTTTCTAGATGTGAGAGGTGTTCACAATTTCCTTAAGGTAGTATGGGATACCTCCACGTTATGACGTATTTCCGTTTGAAGTATTGTTTTGATTTGCATGAGTGCTTATTATCGGGTCAAAATTTGTAGATACACCGTTGAAAATAACACTCTGAAGCCTATTTCAATTCTAGTTCTCACAAGTCGGCATTTTAAGTAAAAACAGACAAAAAAATCGCAAGTATATAAATTTACTTATAATTGTACAACGGACATTTAAAAAAGCAAACCCCTGTAAAAGGTAGTTTCAACATTGCTGCTTTTGAACACTTTTAAGCAAAAGCTGTATTTCAATTGTTTGAGTAACTGTACAGCACCTTGTGTGCGGTGAGGCATGGATAAGTGCGATTACTTCACATTGTGCTGAATTATCACCAATCAATTATCACGTTAACCAGAGCTGGACTTTTTGTTATTTAATTCAAGAAGTAACTGTTTGGTCACAAATCAGCTAGCTGTTGTATATAGTCCCAAAACGTTCAGATGAATGCAATTGCTCTGAACAAGACACGTCCTGGAAAGCGATTGTCCATGCATTGTTTTCAAAACCGCTCAAAGTTGAAAACTACAAAGTGCGATTTTTTTATGGTTGGGAAAAAATGCTCATCATTTCTAAAATAGCACCCAGGTTTTTTCAACCCTTGGAAAATAAAGAAGGATAACTCTTCCGCTCGGATCTTTTAATTCAAAAAATTTTAAATGCATTTTATATTTTCCATTTATATATATATTTTCAATTTGTTTATTTCACTTTGCTAACATATTAAGAAACATTCTTACTGTAGACTTTCATGAAATGTTATCCGTCTGTTTTCAAGAAATAAAGTTTTCCCAGTTTTTTATGCTTATTTTTTGTTGAAAATTAAAAAAATACTAAGACATATTTCTTGTCATTTTTGTTTTTATAAACACTTTATATTAGCAAACGCCTGCCTATAATATTAAGCTTATGAAAAAAGAATTATGCAAGAAAAAAAATTGTTTTTGCATTTCTCATTAAAATAATAAAAAAATTATTAAAATTACACTTTAATATACTGAAAGGTGGGGGTATTTCAAATCCTTCTAATTTGGGTACATAAATATGTAGGAGAAGTTTCGTTTGGTATCCCATACCACCTTAAACATTTACGGTGAAAATTTAATTACTCATTATATATTTTTATATGTCCGTCTTACGACGGGGCATATTATGTTATAGCGTTCATGTTCGTCCGTCCGTTAGCTTTTTCATGTCCAGCTCATAACTTTAATACTATTAGGCCTAGAATTAGCAAACTTTGTCAGCTGATACATCTAGGGTAGAAGGTGTGTCGCACATTAAAACCAGGTCGCTCTGACATTTAATAAAGACACTATGGCCAAATATGGAAAAATCATAACTAGAAAACCATTAGACTTAGAATCAAAAAACTATGTCTTTTAACTTTTAAATTACACAATCCCAAAAGATGTCAGAGTATTGCAGTATCTTTATTAAAAAAGTGTTAAATCAAGAAAATACTAGTCTTATTTTTTTCATTATGTTCTTTACAGCAATCTGTAACAACAAAAATTCCACCTCTCCCATGGGTGTAATGATCAGGCACTGGTCAAGGAAAATTTTGATGGCAGAAAATTGCATGTCAAATTAGAGAGAAATTAATGAGTTTAGTGTGAGGAGATAACTGGTCGAGCATCTCTGATCAAGCAGGTGTTATCTACATCTCTTGGGAATTGGGCAAAAGGAATCAGTCTCTTAATTAATTGCTTGTGTTGTATTGAATTGTTCTTGTTGGCTAGTCTTACTTTCAAGATAAATTTGACGTAATTAAAACTAATTTGATATTGTATATAATAATTAAAACTTATATGATATTGTATAATATAATTTAAACTAATTATTTATTGTACATTTTTTATTTGAATTTTTATATCTTTACAACAAATTGCAGACTGCCTTGTCTCGCTAAGATGTCATTCAAACAAATGAATCTATACTGTTTATGATAATTTAACAATATTTGATGGGCGTATCATGCTCTGGTGGGGCACTCTATTTAATGAATGAAACTAAGGTGCAGCCTAATAAAACATCAACACTAATAATTACAGTGTTTTTTATTACATTGAAAAAATAGTTTGCAACTATCTGTCATCTTTGTGAGACATGACACTCTTCAATTGATTGTTGAAAAAAAAATATCATAATTAATTATAGAAAATCAAATTTATTTTAATACCTTTATATCAAACTCATTTTAAAAATAAAAGGCTGGTTTTAGTAACTATGTATTTTCACAGACATAAGTTACAATTAAGAGACTTAGACAACAGAGATCTTTATTTCTTTCTGCCCAATTCCCCTGAGATATAGATAAGACCTGCTTGATCAGAGATGCCCTAACAGCTTCCCACACTGAACTCATTAATTAATCTTTAACTGGATGCATGTCCACTCATTACTCCCAAGGGACAAATGGATTTACACTATCTGCTGTGTAATGTAAAAACTGTTTTTAATACTTTGTGTTTTTTTTTTTAGTTCTAATGAGTAGTTTTAAGCTGTAGTTCACATTTTTGTACAGATGTTCTAGATTCTATGTCTCAAACCTTAGACATGAACCCGAAATGACTAAGTCAATAAATTAAATTAAAAAAAAAAACACTTGTAAAATGCAGAAAAATTATCAAATAATGTTGAAAATACCAGGTGCACATCTTCATATGGTAAATAATAAGTGTACAAATTTTCATACAAATCTATGCAATAGTCTCTGGGAACAGATCCAGACAAAACCACATAATAAAAATGAAAAAAAAAACACCTGTAAAATGCAAAATAATTATCCAATCATAATGAAAATACCAGGTGCACACCTTCATATGGTGAATAATAAGAGTACAAATTTTCAGACAAATCCTTCCAACAGTTTCCAAGAAATGGTCCGGACAAAATCTCGTCTACAGACAGACGGACAGACAGACGGACATGCTGATTCCAATATACCCCCCCTAAACTTCGTTTGCGGGGGGTATAATAAACAAGAAGTTTGACCATCTCATACACATATGACTGATTATCTAGGGGGTATCCACACTGGCTTGAACTACAACCTTCAGATTTAAAATCCAACGCTCTATGGACTGAGCTGAGCTTGTGCTAGTAGGAGCGTGGCCTCACTATTTACAACATATAGCCACTTTTAAATTTGTTACACACATAAACAGTTGCAGCTTTGGTTAAATTTGTTTACACACAGATAAAAAAAACCCAAATCAATCTTTCTTTAATCTCTCAGGTATAAACACAAAACACTGACCGTTTTTCACATGAATAATAAGGATTCTTCTAGTTAAATGAGACCTGTACATTTGATTAAGATTTATGATGTGCAAGTGATTATGGTGACCTGTCATTATAGACTGTTACCTGCTGCTGGCTTTTCCTGCAGTTTAGTACTCATCACTGCACGTGTCACCATCACTGTAGGAGTAGTCTCATTGTCCAGAGGGCCTGAAATTTATAACCAATCAAAATACATTAACCAGAAATTAAACTTATCATAAATCATCAAACTCCACATTAAAATAACACTACATTCCACATAAAAAACTAAAAACATGTTCCTATGAAATGAAGCCCCAATGTATATTAGAATATAAACTCAAGAAAGGTGAGGCTATATCATGAATGCTCCCAGCAATACACACATTTTGTAAAATAATTAACTAATAATCTAATATGACACAAGTATTTCATTTTGAATAACATGGCAATTTTATTCATTATCATAATTAATGAACGTTGATGTAGTCTCCTACACATTAAAATTTCTAGCGCTTCATGAAATATGCCTATGTTACAAGTCTCTGTGATTTACACAATAACTAACACTAAACTTAAAAACATTCCTTATATTTACATTTAACATGTTTAAAAGCACCAAAAATATACTCAATGTTTGAATTATTTTCTGCCCTACATCATCATATTTTTATTAACATCTCTGTAGCCTCATTGTGATGTCACTTTAGCACGAGTTTCTCCGTGTATATTTCTACGCGTGAGTATACATGAAAAAGGCATTCAAATAAATTTTATAGTTGGTTAAGTAAAAAAAAAACACAGCAGATGTAAAATATTTGACAATAATCTGTTTACTACTTGAACTCATACCTAGTGTGTATGGAGCCTGGAACATGAAAGTCTGATTGTAGTGAAGCGCTCGTCTGAAATAGGAGGAGGTCCACGGATCTCTATACTTCTCCATATCAACAGACTCACTAAGAAATCAAATAGCTTCATTTACACTGTATTCTTGGTTTTAAAAAACTTTCTAATGAAATTTCAGATCAAGGTAGAAGGATGTAAAACTTGATGAAATCACAGCATACTTTAGGTTTGAATACAAAACAATTAAAATGTTCCCAAAAGAAGGGGGGTGGGGAGAGAGAGATTTTAATTTCTTTTTTTAGATTGCACAGAACTTGATGTCATGAGATTTTTTTTCTTATCACAAATATATAACCTCCTTCCTAATACATGTAAGTCATAAGGTACACATTACCATCATCTCCATTTTGTTTAGAAGTTCTCTGCAGTCTTGGTCTCAAGCAATAGACAGTGCAACCAAAGGCCAAGACTTGTACAATATTTAAATAAGACTTTGTTTTGTAACTCTCTCTCAAACTCCCAATCATCCCCCTTCAGTTTCCCAAAAGCATACATTAATTTTTTCATTAGCTAATTTACTGTTTAATGCTAAGTAAAGTGGTTCCACAGACTCTGTTCTGATTTGTCCTGGTTTTCATACATTCTCTACTTTATTAATTTTTCTGTGTGTTTACATACTGTAAAAATACCAGTAGGTAGTGTGAAAAAAATTTCAAAGTTGTAAGCTGTATCTCTGAGAATCTTTATTATTTCATCATTTTTCATGTTTTAAATACAGCAAGGTACATTAAATGCATGCATGAACTGAAAAATAAGGAATTCCCATTAGCATACTTCTGCCCCCCCCCCCCCCCCCCCCCCATTTTGTGATACCTAAAGATTTCTGAAGCAGTAAATAGAGTTTGAAGATATGAATGTATGATGTGGTCATCTGGCTGCACAGTCAGCGAATGGCTAATATATGAGAATTATGGCTGCATGGAATTGTTATTGCTGGGTTTTAGGTAAAAAAAAAAAAATTGGTATGATATTTTGAAGTTGTCACTATATTTACCTTTTAGGATAAACAGTGGTTAGACCACCATAGGTTGCCAAGAATAATGCTGTAGTGCTGAAATTCATAATGAAAGCAGTAATGAAAATTGAACAAAAAATCAAATCAATCTGAGACAATTTCATGGAACAATAGAGATAAAAAGTCCATAAATTTACAATATGTCAGAACTAAATTAAAAAAAAAAATTACCATGTAATACACACAGCTGGGTCTGATATTTTCATTTCTCAACATGTGACATTACATGTAATAATGTTATGCATAAAAAATTAATTTAAACCTTACCACAAGAAAAGCATTTGTAAAAGGTACAATGTATGCATCACATGTTTGAAGCAATATACACAATTAAGACACAGGTAAATTATGTTTGTGAATCCATGGTTTCTAGTGATAAACAAGTTAGTTATGTTTGTGAATCATTAATTTCTAGTGATAGTTAATTCTACTCTCAACTTTCCTTTTATCTGTCAAAAAATGTCTGATTCTGTATTCCATCACTTTAAAATTGTATAGTATTTGAAGTTAAATGCTTATTGCTTTTAAGAGAAGAACAAAAATGTAAATAGTTCATGTGAATATTCCACCACACAAAGGCATGAAGACAGTCTACTTCTTGCAAGAAACTTATATTAATTAAGGTATCCGACCCATAATAGCCTCAGATTTAACTAATTTGAATGCATATATATATCAAATATGTATGGGCTGAATTCTCAAGAATTTAGACAAAATTTTCATGTTTTAGTCTCAGTATGTAAGAGCAGAATGAGCCCTAATTTATAACCTTGACCTGTCTTTGAATAGTTATCCCCTTTGCTTTTAATCAATAAAAATCAATTCTAAAAAATCCATCTGATAAAAAATTAGTTTTCAATCATTTTTCTAATCCAAATGATTAAATACGTCTTTTTACCACAGCATTTATTGAAATTCTTAGTATTTAAATTTGTATATTAAAAAATTTGCTTAAGCTTGTCTCCATAGACTTCAATGCAATCTTCATTGATTAAGCAGTAATGCTTAGTTAATTACATTTTTGAAAATTTCTCTTGGTAAATCCTTTTCTACTCTAAAATGCTTTGAATTAATATCAGAGTATTTTACATATGACAGATATTTAAGGTTAGAAAATTGGGTCCTAATATTGGTTGGATACCTTAAAATAAGCTTTCTGATGACTTGAGTGTCCTTTTTAAAGAATACCTTGATATACATGTCTATTTCACTTCATCCCAGTAGTGTATCAAGATTCTTATAGTTCTGAGAGAGAGATATAGTCATGCTGCAGTACATCTTTTCAGTTATTCAAAAAGCATAAACCCATGCATGGAAAAGCAATATCTCAAGCACATTATTAAAAACAAGAGGTCGATAAACCCTTATGCTCACCTGAGTAAACTTATTCTAACTTTTAATGTTAAATGAAAGTTTGTACATGTACGTCCACTCCATTCACCCCACAACATTCTCAACACCCAAATGAGAATGTATACTCAAATGTAAAAATATAAATTGGAAGAAAACCAGAAGTCTCTGACAAAACTGTAGTTCTACTGGTGTTTATAAACTGAACCATGTATTCAGACTTGTCGTATATGAACTTCACTCTGCAGACCAGCTAATGTTTGTGAAAGACACAAACTCTAATTTCATTTTTTTAGCTTTCCATTTTTTTCGTACTCATTATTCTATTTTCAATTTTTGTTGCCTTTTTGTTTTATTCAATTTGTGTTTTAATGCCATGCTTCCTTCAGTCGGGATTTGTAGCCAAACTGCAAGCATTGGGTAAAAATAGTATACACCACTAATTCATTGAAAGATAGCGATGTTATAAATTAATAAGTAAAGAGATTTAACAACAATTCTTTTACAGCAAAATATTCAAGTATTAAATTATTTTTTCACAATTATTTAGTTTATAATTTATTTACATGTTTAAAAATTATTTACATGTTTAAAAATACAAAATGGTCATTCTTGTTCAATCTCATTTTACCCATGGCCAAAATTAGGATAGACAATTCAGTCAGTTTCAATTCGGGGTAGCCCAATTCAATTTGAGATAGATTTAGACCATCGGACAGGCATTAATTTCAAACACTAGAAGAAAACTTGTTAATGACCCACCCTATCTTTGCCTTTTCCTGATTATCTCCCCTTAGAAAGAGTCTTGGCCCTTCACTTTAACAATTAAAAATCTCATTTACCCAAGGATGCTTTGTACCAACTTTGGTTAAAATTGGCCTGGTGGTACTTGAGAAGAAGTTGAAAATGTAAAAAGTTTACAGATGGATGGACAGACAGATGGACTAGAGACATTGGGTGATCAGAAAAGCTCACTTGAGTTTTCAGCTCAGGTAGCTATGGAAAGCATTTTGAAAGAATATCAACATTATCCTGTTTTAATTGGTAAACATTGCAGCATTGTATATCTAAATCAGAACCCCAAAAACAGAAATATGTATCATAGTGCAGTGCACAGGTTACAAAGTCCTATTGAAATTGGACCAAAACTGTCTAATTGTGTACCAAGTTTTAATGAAATTAGACTAGAACTATAGGAGATGTAGCATTTTTACAAAAAATTCTCTTTTAAGGATGTTCTTTGAAATTAAAACCTCATGGAGAATCATGTATCTTAGTATAGTCTACTTGTGTACCAAGTCTTACTGAAATCAAACCAAAAATGGACCTCCATTTTGGCTGACCCTGAACGTGGTTCCTTTATCCCCATCCCCCACCCCACCCCACCAAATAAAAAAACTGTCAACCTACCTCAAATTAGATTTTTTCAAACCATCATCTATACATGCCATTGCTTATCAATTTTTTTTTACTTTTTTTGATCTGATAATATTTGTGTAATATTTTAAATAAGAGTATACTCCCTTGAATGTTCCGACAGCACACTTGTTGACTAAGAATGCCCCTAGTTAAGTTTGATTGTTATCAATAATTTGTGGCCGATGCTGAAATTGAAAACTCAAACAACTAGAGACAACATGAAAACATTAGTCAGAAAAGTCCCAAAAGCCTTGGACTCAGGTGAGCTTTGTTCCTTCACCACAGCTTGGTAATAAATGTATAGATTAGCAGTTAGTCTGATTTAGTATTGGATATTGAATACACCAGGGAAAAAAACAAAACAAAAAAAAAGAAAAAAGAGAAAAACTTTGTTTACTTGGCAGCATCTGTTTTTGAGTCATCTGAACTGTTTAAACTGTAAAACAAAGTGTGCTGACCATCAAATCTCCAAGTCACAAAGATCAACTTCACAGCTTCCTTCCTCAAGAGTTTTAAAATCTTTGCATGATCACACTTAGTAATTAGGAAAAAAGTTTTCTTTCTGAGAAAGAAGTTTTAAAACCTAAACCTAAGAAATGGAGTAACTGTTGGTGTCCAAGACTAACTGTAAGTGTGCTATATTTAATGATTCGTTGGTTTATTTGGCAAATCACTTCAACATATCCATGGTTTTCGAGATATCAATGTTTGAGACAACAGTGTATGAGATACCGAAGTTCAACTGTATATGATTTAGCAGAAGCCGCTTTCTACCAAATACATGATGTACACTTTATGCATGTGCTATTATGAATATCATGTCATTCGCTTTGTGTTACATTTTATAGATGATGCTTTATTAAAGACTTCAAATGTAAAGTGAGTTAATGATCAGCCTCCTTTACCTTGGGTTAAAGAAGTTTAATTTCATCAAGTCCTTGATCATCAGAAAGTGAGCCTTAGAGACCTTCATATCCACATACAGCTGTTTCATCTCACTGGTGTTAACTAGATAATCAGCAAAGATCAATACAAAACTCAACATAACAACTTTCTAAATTTACTATATTAAAAGTAAGATTGTAATACATATAAATTTTTGTAAAGCTTGGTTTGTATAGCAAATGAAGGTTTGTACATTGTAATACACACAACTCTAAATTTTTTGTCTTGGGAAAAAGGTGAAGAAAACAAACACAGAGTGAACAGGGCATAAAAACAAAGACCTTCAGAATGATAATTCTAAATACCAGACAAGAGGCCCATGGGCCACATCGCTCACCTGAGCACACTGGCTAGGCAAAAGCACAAATTAGTTCAGGGGGGCTCAGGTGAGCTAAAAAACAAAAGATCCTAAGAAAAAAAAACAAACTCACCAAATTACACAACTGCATCAATAAATAAATACCAGTTCAGTATTGGAAAGATAACCCCGGGGGGGGGGGGGGGGGGGGGGCTTGAATTTTAAACTACCTACCTGATGATGCTTCCATGTCAATATAACAAATGGCTTTGTTGTACTTGAGGAGATATTAAAAAAAATTCCCATATTTGTAAAAATTTGATCCCCCATTGTGGCTCCTCCCTATCCCAGGGGTCATCATTTGAACAAACTTGAATCTACACTACCTGAGTGAGGATGCTTCCAGGTACAATGAAACATAGCTTTTCTCTTCTTGAGAATAAATATTTTTTCTATATGTTCTTATGTAAAACTTTCAATCCCGCATTGGGCCCCACCCTACTCCAGGGGTCATCATTTGAACAAAATTGAATTTACACTATCTGAGGATGCTTCCATATCAAAATGACTAAACATGATTTTCAGTTCTTCAGTAGAAGATATTTTCCTATAAATTTCTATTTAAGTCTTTGATCCTCCATTGTGGCCCCGTCCTACCCCCTGGGGTCATGATTTCAACAAACTTGAATCTACACTACCTGAGGATGCTTCTAATAAATATGACTCAACATGGCTTTGCTGTTGTTGAGGAGAAGATCTTTAAAGATTTTTCCTATATATTTCTATCTAAAACTTTGATCCTCCATTGTGGCCCTGCCCTACCCCTGGGGGTTATGATTTGAACAAACTTAAATCTACACTACCTGAGGATGCTTCCATATAAATATGACTCATCATGGCTTTGCTGTTCTTGAGAAGAAGATTTTTAAAGATTTTTCCTATATATTTCTATGTAAAACTTTGACCCTCCATTTAGGCCCCGCCCTACCCCCAGGGCTCATGATTTGAACAAATTTGAATCTACACTACCTGAAGATGCTTTCACATGAGTTTCATCTTTCCTGGCCTTGTGGTTCTTAAGAAGAAGATTTTTAAAAAATGCTATTAATTTTTCACTAATTCCTTATTATCTCCCCTTGAAAGAGGGCGTGGCCCTTCATTTGAACAAACTTGAATCCCCTTCACCCAAGGATACTTTGTGGCAAGTTTGGTTGAAATTGGCCCAGTGGTTCTTGAGAAGAAGTCAAAAATGTGAAAAGTTTACAGAAAGACAGACAGACGGACAGACAGACAGACGGACAGACAGACGGACACCGGACAAAAAGTGATCAGAAAAGCTCACTTGAGCCTTCGGCTCAGGTGAGCTAAAAAACGAGTAATCAACTTAAACTTGTTCCTGACTTACAGTTTTCGGGATTTTGTGAATAATTCCCCAAAGCAGTAATCAGATCTTCAACCACTTCACTAGAGTTATGGTTCTTTGTAATGCTGCTGGATTTGTAATATTTCCTAAAGAAACAAACAAATTCATTGATAATGCAAGTGTAGTGTCCATAGTGATTCATACCATCAATGTAAATATCAATGGGAATATAAAAGTATTTATTACATTTTCAACAGTGAAATACTGTGATTTATTTATTGGATAAAAGTGATATTCTCTCACAGTGTGAAAAGACCAAAATGATATTCTCTCACAGTGTGAAAGGATATCAAAGTAAGTAAAAACTAATTTCTGGCCTGTCATAATATAGAGATAGTAACTAACCATCTTGATAGAGCTAAAACTGCAAAATTCTTCTAAAATATGTTGCTAAAATCTATGCTATGTAATGCTTTCAATCTCACAACTGGTAAGCTATGACGTCTCAACCACTAAACTATGATGTCAAGCCCATGACACCGTGTTAAGAAAAGACAGAGGCAAAGGGAAAATAAAAAAATGTAATAAACAGAAAATTCAATGTTTTGTAGATGAATATGGAATTTATTTCACTTGTGCTTCGCACTCGTGAAAATATCAAAAATCCTGTCCCACTCGTGAAATAAATTCCATATTCATCTACAAAACATTGAATATCCTCTATTTATACCATCAATGTAGATATCTTATCAATGGAAATTTTAAAGTAATGTAAAAGCAGAAATAAGCATGGGGCATTAAATTTTGTTTATTTCGTTGTTAACAATTATCAACGAAATTAAATTCCACACAAAAATTTTAATTGACTATATATTGAATAGGGTTATTTTCATACCAACGAAATTAAATGCCCACAAAACTATTTTAGATGACAAATCAACAAAATTTTATCCCCACAAAAATTTGTGCTTCTACAGTATTTAACCTCCCTCAAATAGAGTTAGTGGAAATAAAATTTCTAATGATTGGACAAATTTAAAGATTATCCTCTCTACCAGCTACGTAATTTGTTTAAATCCTTTAGGATTTTTTCTTTTTTGCTTCTTGGTGATTTTTGACAAGAATATAAGGTTATAAAGTGTAATCTACATGTATATTGACTTTGAAAAAGTTTTCTAGCTTAGAGAAAAAAAAATCTCAATTTGAGATAACAAATAATTGTCAAGGTCAAAATGGGAATTCAATTTCAATACTGTTTTTTCTCTGAAGATTTTTAGGACTAATTCTGGCTGTTGAGATGACACATCCTTTTTCAATAAATAAAAAACAATCAGTCTTACCAAGGTGCTAGTAATTTAGCTGTGTTCTGTTCCTTCAAAATGCTGATCATTTCTGAAAATTCAAACAAATTACTGTACATTCTGCCATGAAAATCCTACAGCAACACATGCCTATGACAATATACCTATATTGTACTATTAGTGGAATGGCTTCTCGTTTTAAATTCAAAATTGTTCATTATTTTAGAATTTTTACAGCAATATATACTCAGATCTAGTCATGAACAACTACATGCATGATGAATATTCATGGAACATGTTTAAGTCCTGTCACACATGTACTAATATAAATATTAAAATTTTATATCTTTAGATGTTTAGTTTGATATATAATATATTCAATAGATAGGTAGGCTTACACTGGACTTATACATTACCTTTGGCTTTAGCTTCACTGAAAGCTGCATCTATTCTCATGATGTATTTTTGATAATGTGGAAGAACAAGACCAAGACTGTAAATAAAAGAAAACTCCCTGCAAAAACTGAACCCTAAAATCTAAGCCAATTCTGTACTGGGCTGCTTTATTGTATCATTTAATGTTAACCAATTTTTATTCATGTGCCAGAAATATCTGCTTGTTTCACCACCTTTTACTTGCAAATATTTCTTGCCAACAACCATTTAATTAAATGTGTACTGCTGTAAAATGTTTCCTCATGCAGTCACGGAAATTTATAGCTGTAAATGGATTTTAAACTAAGGATTCCAAATAAAAAATGTTAAGAAAAGTAGTTGTTTTAAAGAATTTGACCTCTTTTTCTTATCTCCCCAATTGATTTAACCTATTGTTTTATAGTGTTTATATTTCATTGACTTATATTGTGATATATGTTTATTGTATGTACATTGTAAATATTTTAAAAAAAGGTCCCGAGGAAGGTTAGTGGGTTACCTTCTATAAATAAAGTATTATTACTAATTTTTGATAATGTTAACAACCATGATATTTGAAATCACACCTGACTGAGATCTAATTCCTACACTCCCAGGTGTGTGTATTCTCACCTGACTGAGATCTAATTCCTACACTCCCAGGTGTGTGTATTCTCACCTGAATGAGATCTAATTCCTACACTCCCAGGTGTGTGTATTCTCACCTGACTGAGATCTAATTCCTGCACTCCCAGGTGTGTGTATTCTCACCTGAATGAGATCTAATTCCTACACTCCCAGGTGTGTGTACTCTCACCTGAATGAGATTTAATTCCTACACTCCCAGGTGTGTGTATTCTCACCTGACTGAGATCTAATTCCTACACTCCCAGGTGTGTGAATTCACACCTGAATGAGATCTAATTCCTACACTCCCAGGTGTGTGTATTCTCACCTGAATGAGATCTAATTCCTACACTCCCAGGTGTGTGTATTCATACCTGACTGAGATCTAATTCCTACACTCCCAGGTGTGTGTATTCTCACCTGAATGAGATCTAATTCCTATACTCCCAGGTGTGTGTATTCTCACCTGAATGTGGTACTCCCAATAGGTGTGTAAAAATATTTCCTTGTGTCTTCTAGGACATAGTTCTGGTCAAAATAATTAAGCTTTGATTAAACACATATTAACTTTAATTGCATGAGTTTCTTTAACTGATATAACAAAGTGACTCTGAGAGCACAACATCCATGATTTGATGTTTGTATACATACTTCATCTAGGGAAGAAACAAATGTAGAATATTCCTCTTCCCCTTTCTTTCCATCAATCATCTCTTTTCTCATCTAACAAAATATATACAGCTATATACTTTTCTTCTCCCAAACTAATATATTTTTCAAACCCTAAGCAAACCATCAGTATGTGACATTTTTATTCATTCAAGTGAAAGAATTTCAAAGTTGTAGCCCTTACATAGCTTGTTTGACATGAATTTTCTGTGAACATTGAACTTAGTTTGTATGCGAACACAAGTCAACTACATGTTCTATTCTATACCTGTATTTTCTTGTCATTTTCAATTTCAATATCCAGAAAATCCAGGTTGGGGGTGTCTTCTATTTCATCCTGTTGTAAATAATGATGAAATGATCTTTTTATTCTTTATCAAATCAGTCATTTTAAAAATTCACTGATTGAATTAGAGGTCTCAATGTACAATGTAGACTTACACTGATCTTCAGACGAGGATGAAATATAATATAGCCATTAGTGTTGATGGCAAAAGTGTAACCACCAGGACCAAGCTACAAAGATAAAAGATAACTTCAGAAAAAAAAAATTTACTTTTGGTTCTTCAAAATATCTTTAAAAAAAAAAACTCAATTATATAAAATTTTCAAATTTACTCCCATATCAAACTGGTTTTCTGACCTGCCATGTTGGACTGTATCTTTGCATCTGTTCTGTTGTAACATCAATTCCCATCACTCCAAGAATTGTCTGGTTTGACTAAAAATATTACTGTATGTGTACATAGACATATTCAAAATTTAGTACAATTACCACATGGTATTGAGTGGTTGGCAGAATGAAGAATTAGAGCTACACATATCCGTGCCATGTATTGCATTTATCAATGATTTATTAATGGTATTCATTTTTGTCCATGCCAAAGCTGCTAAAATTTGAAGCCCACATTAATTAGTACACCTACAATATTTAACTCAAAAAATGTAATGCTTTAAAACTACTGTGGTACATGTACTGATGAAAAGTTCAGGAATGTAATGTTTGAACTTACCCCTGAGGGTGCCCTGTTGTACACTGGGAGAGTCACTGTCACTACCATGCCAAGACCCTGTACAACACGCAGCACTGCGTTAGTCAACAGTTCTCACACAGAGGAAAGATTAACAAACTAGATCCATTATATTTTAACTTTCATAATTTTGATTTATCTTTGTCAAACATTAAAAGGAAATATTTTATAATAAACCATTAATCTGTATTTAAAATTAATTATTGTGTTGTACAATACATGACATTATATTAGATGTATCACAATTTAGTACTTGGTTAGAAAGGTAAATGATTTAGTCACAGTAGAATTCATAAACATAATATCAAGCATGCAATCCTTTGAAAAATAAAACCACATTCTTAAGCATGCAATAAATAAATGTAAATGATGAACAATGGTGCACATAAGCTATTAGATTCACTGCAAATAGGTTCCTTAATTGTATGATACAAACTGTTCCTACTATTTTAGGAATGACTCTAATTCTTGGCCAAATTATTCGAGTATAACCTGGTTTGGGTCAGTTTACGCTTTATAATCCACGAAGCAGATTATAAAACAGCGTAAATGCTTTATAATCCGCGAAGTGGATTATAAAACAGCGTAAACTGACACAAACCAGGTTACACTCAAATAATTTGGCCAAGAATTAGAGTCATTCCTTATAATTTAATTTTAAAATCATTCAATAACTATGAGTGTAAAATTTCGTTGCTTTTTATTAGTTCAAATTTGCCGCTCAATAATACAACCATAGTAACGGAAGTGATGGGAAGCGAGGGGAGGTAAAAACTGATACATAGGCCTTGCAGCCTTGTTGTTTGTTTACATACATGTGGTAAGATCGAATTATTGTTTGAAGTTAAAGGTACATTTATTAAATCTGGAATTTTCCATGAATCCCGAGGACTGGAAATGAGAGGACTGTATGGATACAGATGATTCAGCTGGTTGTCAGGGGGGTGTGTCCCCATACCAAACCAGGTTATACAGAAATAATTTGGGTTCCTTTTTGGATATTAACCAATCAGAGGCTAGAATACAAACAAAATTAAATTATTATATATTATCTATGAACATTACTATCCATCCCGATTCAATATAAAGCAATTCTCATGGATGATTTCCCCTGAAATTACCATGTAATAAACAATTACAAAATACATTCATATGAACTATTATCTGACAGTGTATATTTTTTTTAATCTTACGATTCTATCTGGTCTTTATTCTCCTTGGAGTAAAGATGGAAATGTATTCTATGTAAGAACATGGAGTACATATACCTAAATCCAAACACATTTGACATAATCAAATTTCCAAGCTTTCTTGATTTTACATTTACAAGGACCTGATTACAAATTTGTACTCTTATCAACAGTACAGTACTAACAGGATTCTACTCTACTTGACATCCTTGGGGCGAGGGGTCCATCTACAACCACAGTACAACTCCGAGATCAAGTACCCTACATCTAGGGGGGGTCCTACCAACTGGTCACTGACAACATGCCACGAACAACACAGAGAGGGAGGGCTGATAAGCTACACGTATACCAAACTATCATTGTAGATATTGCCCCACTTGAACTCTTTTATATCTTGAAGGGCAGCTGGTCGACTTAACACTGGTACATACTCCTTCAATGGGATAAAATAGGATTGATCAGGTGAATTTTCTGTCAATAATGATTTAGTAAAACTGCTGAGAGCAGAAATGTAAGGCTTCTCTGTCCAACACACTTGTTTAAACAGCAGGACATATAAATTAATAAGATTTTCCTACAACACTATAACTTAAGGTCCTATTTGTTAAACTTTACATATACATGGCAAGCATGTGGGCAGAGAAGCTACAGATCCGTCAGTTGTAAGTCTGCTTTAAGGTGACTTGAACAATGAGGACACACATATTAATGAGGATTGATCACCTCTCAGTCTGGCTGGAAGAGCTGAGGTAACCTGGCTTTAACAGGCTGCAGGCATAATGCTGTAACAGATTTGGATTAGAAAGAAAACAAAGTCAGGAAAAACAAACAATCATTCCTCAACATATGTCATTTGCCTGGTGAAGCTTCAGTTATACAGTTAATAGTGACCAAGACCTGAAAGAGTACTGATGCTTTTGCATGCTTTGTAATTATAAATACATTATAAATTTACCAACTTAAAATTATGTTAGCAAAGAATTTATAAATGCAGAATTCTGGCTTGTAAAATAATTAGGGACTGAGACATTCATTGGCCGATTGAATTATTTCTGAGGTCAGGCTTGTTAATAAGAGGGAGATCTCATAAGTGTCATTATGATAGTACTATTAGAACATGAACATGTCACATCTTGTTTGTGTTATAGTACATAGCATGTTGCAACCACAATAATAATCAGGGCCTGTCAAGTGTTAATGGATGGGCTGCTATCAAATGAAGCACAATAATGTCACGCGTTCAGGGGGATCATTCCACAGCATTACCCTGGGGTCACGCTGGATCCGGTGCTGGAGATAATCATCTCCGCTCGTTATCTCCTGACGGTCAGTGGCTAAATGGGTCAGATAGTCCTGGAAAAGTTTGACAGAAATTCAGTGAGGACAATGTTGATGTTAACTCTGATATGAAATGTCTGTACCCAATAGCTTAACATGTTAACAACTAGTGGTGTTCCAATCAACGGTTATAATTGAAAATCAGTCAATTGCTGGCATAATCCAAGCGCTCGATTACAAAGCTTTTATTCTGATTAATCGGGTGATTTTTTTTTTTTTTTTTAAATTTTACAAGACATTTTATTCATACTCGGGTAACAACCCTCATTCCCGGGTATGGACGTACTTTGGATTCTACAAAATAAACGAAGAACCCGCTGGGCTAGATAGAATGTTAAATCGTTTCGTTTACATGATATTGTCTACAGACTAGGGCTTGTCCCAAGACACAGTAATAGATTATTTTAACTACAGCTGGACCACCAGAAAGTAGTTATTCACCCATTCTTACCATTTAATGAACTAAATTGACAGACTTTGTAAATGTCCGATTATAATTGATAATTAGTTAGTTACAGTAGCCTGAACATCGATTATTAAATTCTTACCAATTCCCATCACTACTAACAACTTCTGTTTTACAAAATGCATTCAAATTTGCTTAGGCAAAGTGTTGTTGCAGCTAAACAGGTTCTCTTTCCTAAAGTCAAATTATGACTCCCTCATCCATTTGTTGGTCAAGATTGTTCTCGTTACACTATTATTATTACAGTTAATATATACATGTAGATTGCTGTCAGCTATTATTACAGTTAATATATACATGTAGATTGCTGTCAGCTTCAATATGAATTGTTTCCTGTATTATACTGATCCACAGAATTTAAGGAATAGAATAATATGTTGAGTTAATACTACATGTTGATATGTTTCTTTTGTCACTATTTATAAGTGCCAGTGACATGGCGTTGAGATGTGCTAAGTTACCCCACACCCTTATGTTAGTCTACATGCCCCTCTCTCTTATTGCTTTTTTAAACTGATGTTCATTTTTAAACAAAAAGCAATAAGATAGAGAGCCCGTTAATCTAGCTTTGCCCACATCTAGCCCGTACTACATAGAATACCAATCTATCCTGGTAAACGCTGGTCCACAGTGGGAGCTCCGTGTGATAGGAGCCCGATAATACAGTCACATAGTCCTGAAATATACAGTACGACCTCACAGAATATAGTACACGTTATATATTAAACAATCCTCATGTAGCCCAACATAAAACCTCTACAGGAGGTCACAATTCCTGAAATCACTGTCATAATGCACACATCTTTACAATAACAAAGAAAAATTCTTTTATTCCTGAAAAAAAAAATATCCTGATCATAAAGGCAGATTTACACAGAATCACTAACACACCAGTAAAAGAATTAAGAAGTGCTACACATTATTGTGAAGATTTTGTAGAAGGAAAAAAATAATAGTCCAGAATGCGTCATATTCAAGAATTGTTTAGCTTCGTTTGGTAACAGGAGACATTCTGATACACTGGAGTTCTGAAGATCCATAATTCATAAGATCCATGATGCAAATAAAAAAGGTGAAGATCAATTAGACAGTATTCCTCCTCATCGTTAGACTAGATAGATATGTTTTATCTTATATAATTAAAGTTCCAGTATAACAATGTATGATTATAGTGATTACCAATGTTTAGGTCTATCATAATGTGCCTTCCAGATCTTTAACTTTCCAAAAATGAAAATAAAAAAAATTTCATTTTTTAGTATATATGTAATTACAAATCACTGAAACCATAATAATACATGTACCTGTATTTGTTTCTTAGCTTAACAATGTTAAGAAGTAAACTTTCAGTAATGCATCACATATATTTATTCATGATTGTCTTGAAGACTTTTTAGTGTTTCTCTCAAGTACTGTAAATTACATTTTACTCCTCAGAACTTTATTTTTATGTAATTACCAAGACCATCTTTTCACAAAAATTTCATTCATGTGTGTATTTTTATTATTAAAGATTATACACAATAATTACCAAATTTGCAAAACTTTTGTATCACTTATAACTACCAAACAATTTTCTCACAAAAATAAGATGTCCTGAAAATTTGGTGATCTACAGTATTGACATGGAATACTCTTCTGAGATTTCAGCTTTAATTGGAATTTTTTTTTTTTACTAAATCCCCAAAAAGATTAAGTACAGTTTACATAAAAGGGATGTGAAATCAGACATGCTCCCATAAAATTCTAAAAACATGTATTGGGAATATTTCTTTAAAAAGAAATGATTATCATGTACCAATGAAAACACTTAGCATTCATAGAGAGCAAAAAACAAACAAAGCAAAAAAAGAAATAAAAAGGACCACTTCTCAAAAGAAAAAAAAATATCAGAGAAATAAAGAAAATCACATTCAAAATATTTGAAGTATATACATCTTCTTTTGCCTGTTATCAAGACTGAATGTTGTGAAGCAGTGCTTTTTAAGAGAAAGTAATTGCAAAAAGGCCCTTGGTATTTGAATATCATATGCTAGTCTACAATATGTTTGCTCTAAGTGGACAGAAATTGTGCTCTAGCTAGGGCGGTCACATAATGTAATAAAATATCTGTTTCACATTTGTTCTGATGACAAATCTCTTTAAGCATCTTCACTTGTATCAAAATTTCTATAAATGATTGGACAGGAAACAAATATTTTGCGTGACCTTCCCTGACCTTAATGAGGATGAGATACCAAAGATGGACCATGGGATCCCTTGTAGCTACTGGTCCATTTGACAAAGTTGGTGTGTTTCAAGGCAAGAGGTCGTGCGACCACTTCCACATACTCCTAGTGATCAGTGACAGATAAGATAAAGAACATATTAGTCCCTGAAACCATGCACAGTCCTAATAATTAATATGTATACTGCATTGTATTGAGAAACATTGCATGAAAGAAACAAAATTCCCTCTCTCATTCCTTCTCTCTCTCAAAAAAAAATGCTTTGTTCATACTTTACTGAAACAAAGACTTTATTAATGTTCACTTAGAAATTCATATACTGGGATATAACTACCACATTTCAGGTGATTATTTGAAAAAAATTAGTTAGTACAATGATTGTAGTATTAAAGATAACCAAAATGTTACAGCATCTTTCTGTACATTTAATTTATGACATACTGCTAGATTTATTATTATATTTCATTTTCTTTCATAACTTTATCTTCATTTAGTAGCAATGGATGACATTTTTTACCTGAACTCTGGCTCTTATGGCCCCCATGGCTGGAATCTCCGAAAATCGACCTAAAATTGAAGAGTTATATACTAATTTTTTTTTCAAAATTAATACTAGTACCAGTCATTAATTTTTGTAAAAAGTATACAGGTATAATTAATTCCTAGGCTACATGGTGCAAGACATTTTTTCTAAAAGAAAAAAACATCAATACAAGACCTCTGTTTGCACATGCCATCCAAGCAATGTCCTTTGTAGGGTTTGGATTCTGACCAACAGCATAGGTAAACACACGGACCCTGTCCTATTAAAAAAAAAAATACCTACCATATAGTATTTATAAACAAAATCCTGAAGAATAAAAAAACTTTTGACAAGCATCTTTTCTACAACAATATACATTATGAACCCCATCTTCCTCCTGCTTTTTAGTCTTTTTTATGAAATGTAAATCTTTCTGAACAAAAAGTTGAAACAAACAGAATAAACAAATGTTATGAAGAGATTTTCACTGTAACCTCAATTCGTGTGTACGACCTTGCTGCATTTTGAGGGTACAAGCTTACCTGAAGAAGTCTGTTAAAGTTCCTCTTACCTGAAGAGGTCGGTTAAAGTTTCGTCGATTAAACACTTCATCCCCATTGTCGGTGCCTCCATCTGTTAGAAGCATGATCATTTTGTTACAGTGGGCCCCCACTCCTGCCTCCGTGGAGTTCTCAAACTGTAATGAAGAACATTCTTAAATCATTGGGTAATAATACAAGTTGGGCTTAGAAAGCCTTATTCCTCCAAATTTACTTTTTTCCCAACACTTTCATCATGTCTGGAAACATTAGGGATGAGCTGCTTTTCAGTTTTGTGACAAATAAGTATGTAAAAGGCCACTTTCTTCAATTTTAAGATAAACATGTGAACAATATCCTTGGAGACTAAAAAATTATTACCGGTACTTGATAGAGGTGGGGTTTTTTTGTGATTTAGAAAAATTTTTTTTTTTAGATAACCCCCTCTGTATTATTCAGATAATTTTTACCGAAAAAGCCCTTACCTTGTCAAACTGGTCGAATGCATACTCTAAGCCTTTGGAGATGTTTGCCATGTTTTCTGCTGACAGATTTCCCACCACACGAGACAAATACTGTAAAGAAAACAGTAGACCACTTCCATTAAGTATTTCCTATCCACACACTACTGAACTACCATTCTTCTTTATCCACAATCAAAAATTCCTCAAAGTCTCAAAAAGGCAGTTTTATCAATTAAAACAATAAATCACTTCTATTAATCAATTTCCAACCTAACAATCCCATCAATCAGAAATTTAAAGTTCTTTAAAAATTTCAACAAATTTGCACTGGACTTACAAATAAAATATATTTTATTTAGTGATGGAGGTCACCTAAAGCATTGCAACATTTAGCTGCATTATCCTGATATTATACAAACCTTCTTATTTCTGTAGTTAGCCTGCACAAATCCCTTCATACAGCCCACTGTTTCGGCTTTGTCTGCAAACTGCAAAGTTTTCATAATATCAAACTTGAGGTACTGTGAGCACTGAGTTCACAAAATGATACCCCTCCCCCCCCCCCCCCCCCCATATGAGTATAATGGCAAAGTCCATGTTTTGCTCTTGGGAACCCCAAACAACTGTCCAATCAGAACATAAAATAGAAGGTGCAATATGTAATGAAGATTCTTTGAAGGTCTCACTAAATTTTATTTAGTGGTGTAGGAGGAGTTGCAGATAAGAGATGGGTATTGCCAAATGTTACAGACATACACAAAAGGACTTATGGAAGGATGTTTGGATGGAAAGACGTACAGATGGAAGGACGGACACCCCTAGCACTATATACTTCACACTTTTCAAGCCCAGGTGTATAACAATAAGGTTTTACCAATATCCTTTTCATATTCTGTCATTATTTAAAAATGTGCTTGTTTCAATAGACACAGTATAATTATATTATGAAAATGACTATATTATTAGCTTGAAAATTTTGAAATTACTAAATAAATGGAAAATTAACCATTAAATACTGTGACATTCTGACATTAAACTGCAAAGTAATAGCATGGAAAAAATATCATGAACATATTTTGAAAATATGATGAATAATTTAATAAGACAAATGAAAAGGACAAAGTTTTGGGTTTACCTTGACAATTTGTACAAAATCGTTTTCTCCTAAGGTGTCCAGGATAGACTTAACAGCAACAATCATCAGCTGGAGAGACTGACCCACCACACTGCCGCTCCTAAAAATAGATCAAACACAATAAATCATTACTGTAGGAGCTGATCCACCACACTGCCACTCCTAAAATTAGAACAAACACAATAAATCATTACTGTAGGAACTGACCCACCAAACTGCCACTCCTAAAAATACATCAATAAAAATAAACACAATAAATCATTTGAAGCTTTTGGCACAGGTGAGCTAAAATCCACATCATAACAGAGCTAATCAGTGAAAATATGAACTTGTAATGTCTTACGTGTCAATGAGGATCAACATGTCTTTTGGAGAACTTGATCCTTGAGTGTACCTAGAAAAAGAAAACATCTTACTGTTAAAATTCTCTTCTTATATTAAGATATTGTGCACACATTTCCATTTTCGACAAATGTTTAATACCAACCATGGTCTGCGTCTGACATCATACAAATCTACATCATCTGTCATTTTCCACATACTCGCTACAATAAAGAAAATCCAAAATTAAAAAAGAAAAATAACACAGTTCTAAACTTCTTACATGTACATGTATTTCCCTTTCTTGAAATTAGAAGAAAAAGTTGTACAGGTCATGCATCCACTACTTATCTTTTCATGACCAAGCTAAAAGACAGGCATATAAGGTTTCAAAGATTTATCAGAGAAAGATGTTGATGTAATAATGTTATATGTTGTTTTACAATGTTACAGAAGTGTTTAATTAAGGAATGAATTTATTAGCTACCCAATTTATATGGTATAAACTGGGTTGGGGCAGTTTACACTTCATAAACTGTGAAGTGGTTTATAAAAAAGTGTAAACTGTTCCAACCCACTTTATACCATATAAATTGGATAGCTATTAATTTCATTCCTTAAAATTTAATTTTCATTCATTTGTAAGAAAAAAGATGATTGCCCATAAAAAATTACTTTGTACAAAATTTAAATGTAACGCCAGGCAGATCGATACATTTTTGATGCAAGTCATTGTGACATAGGCAACCCAATTTATACGATATACGAGGGTTGTCCCAAAATTCTGTGGACAAGTGTTGTTTTGTAGGAACCCGGTGCCATATATTAATGAAACTTTGTACATAGATTAAACCAACAATAACTAATAAATTTATGGACAAATATTGAGTAATTACACATATTAACCCTATTTAAATGAAATATTTCAATTTCTGGTGTAGGAAGGCCCCACAGTACTGAAAAATTGCAATGAAAAATCAGTATATAATATTTAAAATCCTACTAAAAAATATTTACCTATTTAACAATTTCAAAAATAAAAATGAAAATTCTAAATATTGTATTGTTAGCTATCTTTCCTCAAATTTTGGTGTACATGCTTTAATTAATATAAATTTTATAACATTTAATATCCACAGGTTTGAAGTCTGACGTGTTGAAAATTGGCGGCTGCGCTGACACAGACGGCACACTAGACTGTGATCATTTGTTTTGATCTTGAATTCACTCCTACAGAAAAGCATAGTCATAAATGTTTGGTACACATGGAAATGTTTTCTGGTCCTTAGTGTATGAAAATGACTGAAACAATTTTTCTAAGTATGTAAAGGAGGGAAACTAAAAAGAGAGAACAGCTGAGGAATCAGGCAAGATTGACAGTGTGCAACCCCATTAGAAGAGACAAATGAAAAACCTGTAGAGTAGACACAAAGAGTTTTTCAAAATATTATTTTTTGATAAAGGTACATGTTCTGTGTTCATAATTTGTTCACATATTTTAATGCTAAATCATTTCATAATAAGATATTTCACATTTATATCTATAATCTTTTAATGAATTATAGTTCATACTGTATTTCATTCTGGTAAAAAGTGTATTTCTCCCCCAGAATCTGAACCGGTGAGATTCACTTTTTTGACGTCGGAGATTGCTCAGGGTATTAAGGAACGATAGCACTTCAATTCTTATTACTCGAATTGTTTTCATATAATCATGTCTTTGTAGTTTATTAGCCAACAAAACACTTTATCCACCCAGAAAACTTTGTAAAGATATATTAATTTCTGCAAAAGATCTGAGATCAGTCTACGGAATTTTAGGACCCTCGTAAAGTAATTTTTTATCCATTCAAATACCAAGTTATAACCAGAATTAAATTATTTAAATCATGTTGCAAATCAGGATTATACTAACCAGGGAAGGACCTCATGAATCCCGTCTGGCTGCCAAAATACTGCCATAAAATCTCCTTGTCGTTGTCGTAATTCTCTCTAAACACCTTGTCCAGGGCATGAGACCACTTCAAAGCATTGAGGATATCAGGATCTAAACAAAAAATAAAGGTACTGCGAGCAGGCCCACAAAATAATACACACTGCTGCAATAATTTTTTTTTCTAAGTGTCCATTTGCAATTTTGTAAATGTACATATGTAGTTTTGAATTTGCCAAAATGACCTTTGTTTAAAAAAAAGATGCATCCTCTTGTCATAAATAATCTTTGAGTAAAATATAGACATCCAATTTTCTCCAGTGACCTTGAACTTGCCAAAATGACCTGAATTAGATAATGAAGCACCTTTAAGTCTGAAGGAATCTTTGTGTCAGATATCAACTTCCAATTAACCTCCATTTCAGAGGTACAGACAGGACACAAATAAACACTTTTTGCCAGCGACCTTGAACTTGATGGTTGACCTTGAGTCAAGTGTAATACATACCCTCAGATTGTATGTAATATTTATTGTAAGTATGAGCACCTAATTGTCTACATTACAAGATATTATCTAGACAAAAATTGAACATTTTTCTGTAAGTGACCTTGAACTTACTCAAATGACCTTGGGTCAAGGCCTTGACAAACCTTCAGGTCATAAACAATTTTTGTACCTATGAACTTCCAATGATTCTTCATTACAAATTTATAGCAAGGACAAGATTGTGTGGACAGACAGACAAAACGATCCTTATATACCCCCACCCCACAAACTAAGTTTACAGGGGGTATAATAAACTCTATATTTAGATATTTAGATTAGTAGTGCCTAAAAAAAATTCTACAACAGTCAACATAATGCACAGGAGCATGTATTAAGTTGTTCATATCTTACCTTTCTCATAAATTTCCACAGGAATATGAACAGATGAGACAGACGTGTTCACAGCCTGTTTGAACTTCTCATTCTTGTCCAGAATACTGGAAAAGTTATTGTAGGTGGGATCCTTGGATTTGTAATAGTTCACCAAATTCTGAAATTAAACTCTTCTCCTCAATTCTTGCTATGAAGAGGAATATTGTATGCTTGATTTGATGCAGAAACACATAATGTATAGCATACAAAATGCTGATCCAGGGTTGTCCCTAAGATCTGAAATAGCAGACATTAAAAAAATAACATTTAAAAAGAAAAAAAAAGGTTGGGTCTTAGGTTCCCTTCCTAAGAGGGGGAATACCAGAATAACTGGTGGATAATGTCATAAAAGGTGGGGAATTCCCCGGTCCCTGGGTCTTAGGGACAACCTTGTGATTTAATAAAGATCACCATGCAGTTACAATGATTATATTAATTTTTGAGTTCCTATCTAATCAACTGAAATGTAACAAATGAAACAAGTAATATCAATTTATATCAAACCCATTACATTCTTACTGTATTTGTTAACAAGCAAGCCACATTAACTTTGTAAAAACCAGTCTCCCTCCATCTAATACCCCCCCCCCCCCCCCCCAACACAAAAAGATAGTTCTCTTTCATCTTGGAGCATAAGAAATTGGAGATGTGACTCACTGATTCTCGGATAGTCTCGCTATAGTTATGACTGGCTGCTGCTCTCTCTGCTACTTCAACTGCTTTCTACAACAAAACAATTAATTCAATGAATAATTGTTTTGTAAGCTCTCTTAGAACAAAGCAATCAACTCAATTAATCCTTATACTGTAACTACTATTAAAAGTAAATATCAGTTTTGTTTTAGAAAAAAAATAATCTGATGACAGAAAACATTTTTATACAAAAAACCCTTAAATACTGTTGTGATAATGAAATTTTCTCTAGTGAACCTTTTCTTGCTTCACATGGTGTAAAACAGGGTGATAACTTTTTTCACCCATTGTTATTAACTTATGTAAGGAATGAATTTTATAGCTACCCAATTTGTACAATATAAACTGGGTTGGGGCAGTTTACACCTTATAAAGTGAAGCAGTTTTTTATCCAATCAAATACTGCATTATAATCAGAATTTAATTATTTGTAAATGATTTTCCCTTAGATCTTGTTGATTATAAGTTTTATAACATTATTCCACTGAATCTCCAGAGTACTTTTATTAGTTTTTTTTTTATGCTGACAGCTTGCTTTTACTCTCTGCTTCAAAAGAGGTCTCTTCAGATCTGTCTAGATTGTCTTTCATAAAATTGTAAGGGCCTTAAAGGTCACCTAAGTATGATACAACACTGTAAAGGATCCTTAGAAGTACAAAACAAAATTACTCATAGATGAAGCAATGTTGCCCAAGAATTTCAAAAATCTGGTTAAAATACCCTTGCTTATTGTAACGTGTTAGACCCGAGTGATCTCCTTAGGATCATACTTGCATGGTTTTCCCAAGTCTTACAGGGATGATAAAGAATGCAAAATATACAAATACAATGGACACTTGCCTATTCTGTAAGGTATTCAATATATACAGAACTAACTATGTACTTATATATTCAATATATACAGATATGTTGTTGTCACTTGCCTAGTGCTACAATTCAGTACACACAGACTTGGATATACAACATGGCTATTTTCCGCTTGTTATAAATTACAATAAATCACCCTGACTCTTTGTGATTTTTTTATACACTTTGATAAAGTATAAAACAACTTTGTCCATTCTCTTGTCAATCATGATTCTACCAGTGACAATAACTCATCTACTATCAACCAAAACACCACAATGTAAACATACTACATACAATAGCAACTTTTGCTAAATATATAAATAATCTTTATGTCAATCTTTTATATTGCTTTCCAGGCAAGAATCTGACTTTGAGAATGATTTGCTTATTTACTCCAAACATTCATTTTTATTTTGTTTCTATATATATAACATTCTTTCTAATTGTATTCTCATTCAATCAAATAACCTGTTAATTAAATTATGAACAAGGATTTCATGATTAACAACATCTAGCAAAGGGGAGTAACTCTCATTTGCTTCACTTATTACAATTATGTACTCTGTTTGCCTCCTAGATACCCAGAAACAAAGAAAAGGCACATTTACTTATAATTTTAGTTAATACATTTACATTGATATTATTGTATTTAGTTTGTTTGCTTAGTACTCAGGGGCAGAGGAGAAGATTTTAAAAGCATTAATGCATTTTTGCTAATTAATCAATAGAGTCCCACCCAAGCACAAGAACCCCTGACTCAGGGGCCATGAAATTCACAATTTTGAAAGAGGCATTCTTTCTCATTTGAACTTGGTTTTTAGTTTGTTTGCCTAATACCAAGGGGCAAAGAAGATTTTCAAAGCATTAATTTATTTTAAGTATATAATAAATAAGCCCCCCCCACCAAACCCCTGACCCAGGGGATATGAAATTCAAAATTTTTGAAGAGGTCCACTTCCTAATCATAACTATGTACTTAATTTATTGGCTTAATACCCAGGAGCAGAGGAGAAGATTTTCAAAGAATGCATTTTCACTATAATATACTGAAACGCAAAAGAAACGCAACATCCTATTTTAGTGGGAAATATTATATAAAGAATATAATTTTGTATCTAAAAAGTACGGATACCTTCAACTTTGTACATATGGGTAATTTAACAGTTGAATGATTTTCATACCATTACCGGAAGTTAAGTTTGAGTCCGTTTAACAGAAAAAAAAAAATTGCATGTTTAACAAAATATTAGGCAAGAATATGTTTTTTTTAAGAATTTGTATCTGTTCATCATAAGTAATGAAGCAATGTCTGTTCATCATAAGTAATGAAGCAATGTTACGAAAAATAAATTCTCCTTTCTTTTCCATAAGCAATGCCAAGGCTTCCTAAAAATGACTTAAGTACGCATTTCCATTGCTCTAGCTGGAAAATCTCAAAATAAAGGTGATGGAGAGTTGCAAATGCAAATATGCAACACATCACTCCTCAACAGGCTCTTACATATCATTAGCATGAATGACAGTCCTTGGACCGGAAGTCCAAGGGTTACTACACTGCCCTTAGCTAGAGAAAATTCGACCTTATCATCTGAAAAACAGGCACTTAAAAATGGCAAAGAATATTTCTTTCACTCAGATCTCGAGACTGATGAACCTACTGCATCGTAGAAATCAAGCTACAACTGTTGTACATGGCAGTCTTGCACGCTGTAATTGAATGGCCGGGGTGGGGGTGTTTCAACATTCAAGTGTTTCTTTCTAAAGTTAAAAGATTATAATTTAACATTTTTATCAAATCTCTGATGTTATAAATCGAGTTTTACCTTACTGTATTCATTTTTGAAAATCATTAGATAAAAAATTCAAATATTTGTAGATTACTGCTTGTTGCGTTTCTTTTGCGCTTCAGTATACAATCATTAAAGCCCCACCCTAACACCAGAACCCCTGACCCAGGGGCCATGGCTTTCACAATTCTGGAAGAGGCCCACCTCCTCATCATAACTATGTACTTAGTTTATCACCTTAATGCCTAGGAGCAGAGAAGAAGATTTTCAAAGAATTAATGCATTTTCACTAGTATATAATAAATAGAGCCCCACCCTGGGACCAGAACCCCTGACCCTGGGGCCATGAATTTCACAATTTCTGAAAAGGCACTTTTGCTCATCATAACTATGTACTTAGTTACTTTATTTAATACCCAGGAGCAGAGAAAAAGATTTTCAAAGAATTAATGCATTTTCACTATATAATCAATAGAGCCCCGCCCTTATACCAGAACCCCTACCCCGGGGCCATGAATTTCACAATTTTGGAAGAGGCACTCTTGCTCATCATAACTATGTATGTAGTTACCTTATTTAATACCCAGGAGCAGAGAAGAAGATTTTCAATGAAATAATGCATTTTCACTATATGATCTATATAGCCCCACCCTGGGGCCAGAACCCCTGACCCTGGGGCCATGAATTTCACAATTTTTGAAAAGGCACTTTTGCTCATCATAACTATGTACTTAGTTACTTTATTTTATACCCAGGAGCAGAGAAAAAGATTTTCAAAGAATTAATGCATTTTCACTATATAATCAATAGAGCCCCGCCCTTATACCAGAACCCCTAACCCGGAGCCATGAATTTCACAATTTTGGAAGAGGCACTCTTGCTCATCATAACTATGTACTTAATTACTTTATTTAATACCCAGGAGCAGAGAAGAAGATTTTCAATGAAATAATGCACTTTCACTATATGATCTATATAGCCCCACCCTGGGGCCAGAAGCCCTGACCCTGGGGCCATGAATTTCACAATTTTGGAAGAGGAACTCTTGCTCATCATAACTATGTACTTAATTACTTTATTTAATACCCAGGAGCAGAGAAGAAGATTTTCAAAGAATTAATGCATTTTCACTATATAATCTATAGAGCCCCACCTTAACACCAGAAGCCCTGACCCTGGGGCCATGAATTTCACACTTTTGGAAGAGGCACTCTTGCTCTTCATAACTATGTACTTAGTTACCTTATTTAATACCCAGGAGCAGAGAAGAAGATTTTCGAAGAACAAATGCATTTTCACTATATAATCTACAGAGCCCCACCCTAACACCAGAAGCCCTGACCCTGGGGCCATGAATTTCACAATTTTGGAAGAGGCACTCTTGCTCTTCATAACTATGTACTTAGTTACTTTATTTAATACCCAGGAGCAGAGAAGAATATTTTCAAAGAAATAATGCACTTTCACTATATGATCTATATAGCCCCGCCCTGGGGCCAGAAGCCCTGACCCTGGGGCCATGAATTTCACAATTTTGGTAGAGGGCTCAATGCTTATTACAATGATGCCAACAGTTTGACTGCTTGATGTCCAGGAGTAAAGAAGAAGATTTTTAAAGATTGCATTATTTTTGGTGGTTTTAGCCCCACCCCTCAGGCCCCAGGGGGGCAGGGACCATGAAATTCAAAAATTTTGTTCCCCTTCACCCATAGATGCTATATGCCAAATTTGGTTGAAATTGGTTAAGCGGTTTCAGAGAAGAAGCTAAAAATGTTCAAATGTTAACGCACGACGCACGCCGACGGACGAGAACAGATTATAGTAATAGGTCACCTGAGTGACTCAGGTGACCTTATAATTTTAATTGTGAAAGAACACCATAGTGAAGAATTATGTAATCCAAAACATGGGTAATCAGAGATTACTGAGCTCAGCTCAACTCAATGAATGTTATCTTTCAGTAAGGCAAAGTCCCACACTCAGCTAGCATTGTTCATTTCTAGATGTAACATTTAGGCAATTTAGGTCTAATAGGGCTTGAAGTTATTTGGAATGGACTTATCTAAATACTTCAAAGTAGTCACTCATTCAGAAAATATAAGTACCGGTAAAATCCAGCATCTGTTGCAAGTTTGAGAGTGTTTTTCCCTTGATGCAGCATCCGAAGCAAGTCTGGCAATGTGCATCCTTAGATGTATCATCCATGCAATTTTGGTCAATATAGGGGTTATAGTTACTTCAGAAATAAAGTCCCGAAATGTTGTTTGAAATATTCACACCGAGGCTTTTATATTTCCAACATCATTTCGTTATCCTGCATCATTCATGACAACAAGGACTTTATTTCTATTCTACTAACAGCTCTAAAATACGCCTGATCATTTCCTCTACAGAGAAACAAATTATGTCACCATTTTGCGATTACTCTGTTCCATTGAACACCAGAGGGTCAATTTTGTTTCTTTACCTGTGTATCGATTACATAGAATGCAGACGATTTGAGCTTTTGTTGGGTTAAAAATATCCTTTAATTATTTATAAATTTGTTTGTAACATAAATTGATTAGTACTTTTAATGATTGTAAAATAACAAAATCAATTGTCTATTTCATTGCTCTATCAGTAAAATCATGAAATGTTAATGTTGTGGGGAGGTCTGTGGAACAGCCCAACTTAACTATAAAAACCGACATTTATCAGCTATTTTAGGCATTATTTCTTATGAAGCTTGTAACACAAGCTTTGATTGGTTACAAAGTCGGGTGTAAATTTCCGTACACCCGACCTGAGCCGGGGGGTAAAAAACATGAAGTCACAATGCATGTTAGTTTCTTTATGATAAAAAGCAAATAGTATATGACGTCACGATGCATTGCAGGACGTAGTAATTCTTATTGATAGCTTGAAAAACAGTTGATTTGACTTGTTTACAAAGAATTTATTTGGGTACATAGGAAATAAATTCATTATCCAGCCTGGATACCAGTTGAAAAAATTGGCTCTTTTTTTCCAAAATTTAGGTAACAATTCTCAACTGATGACCAAATTCAATTTTTTGATGCTGTTCATATATAGAAATAACATGTTTTGAAATTATAATCATTTTTAAAGAACAAGTCCACTATTTAACTCTTTAATCAACAAATAAATATAAGTCAACAACATTTCCCAATTTTGCCACTTTTTCGATTAAAAATTTACAATTAAAAGGGTACAGGACCCTGTACCAAAAAGGGTCAATTAAGCCCTGAAACTTGCTATTAGTCAGTATTTATGTATTCCCGTCACAAATGCCCCAGTGTAAAATATCTTCATTGTGGCAGAAATTTTTTTTAAACCTGATAAGGGGATGCAAATATTTAAAAATTTCATTAACGTCTAAACAATGTTTACTTAATGTTAAAAAAAAAAGGAACTGAATCTATATGAATATAAATGAACGTTCATGACTATTTATCATTGTTTATTTTTATACATTTTTTCTTAATGTAATGTGTAATTTAATTAATTACATTTGCAAAGTAATTGTAATTTTATTAATTACATTTCAAAATCCTTGTAATGATAATGGTAATTTAATTGAAGGTTTTGGGCAAATAATTGTAATTTAATTAATTACTTTCCTATGTAATTAACCCCATCCCTGTATCCAGGTCCAATCAAGGGTGTACAGGGATTTATCTCGGGTTAATGTATTCCATAAACCCTTCGGCCTAATTGTGTATGGAATAAAACCCGGGGTAAATCCACGTACACCCTTGATTAGACCTGCATAACTAACAATATACACTCTGTAGACTGCAGAAGACGACACATTGATGTGGTCTAAATAAATATTAGATTCTACAGTGAAATATTTATTTCAACTGTACAGGTTTGATTTGTGTTTCTGATCTGATAATTTTTTGATGACGCTCGCGATTTATTGGAGAATAATGTCTGCAGCATTTCTTTGATCTTGGCAATAACTGTGGTAGACATGTTTGGTGAAATCATTTAATAAATAAATAATAACCCTGATCCAATTTCTCAACACTAATGTATTACTAATTCAAGTGGTTATGTACTGTTAGCAGTACACTGTATACACTGAATTCATTAATATAACAAATATTGACAAGTGAATTATGTGTATACATCTTATTAAACTTAATAACAGTACATAATAAAAACAATTTATTCAGAAAACACATTACAAAGACAATAGTGCTTTATTCAAGACATGCTATTTTTTCTAACCATGTACTTTATAATTAAATTTTCCAGTATAAGGACACATAATCTTGTTATCTTAAGAAATAATGTGAAAAATCGCTACATTTCACACTGTCCATTAATCTTCTTAGTGGACAGTACATGCTTTGAGAAGACTACCTTGAGGGCCTCTGTCTTTTTCCCTAGCATCTGAGCCACTTGGTCGGCCATCTTTTCTATCAAGTCCTTTCCATCAATCTCCTGTACAGCTTCTGTCTGGTTGTCAAACTTTTGTCCCTGTAAAATACAGATCAACCATCTCAATGAAAGGCATTTTCATGTGATCAAATTTCTGTAACATACAGCATTTTGCCCAGCTTCTATAAATCTCTCCTTTATTGTGTATGGAATAAAACCCAGGGTATAACCGCGTACACCCTTGATTGGACCTGCATAACTAATAATACACACTCTGTAGACTGCAGAAGACGACAGCTTCTATCAATCTCTCCCTTGATAGCATCTTAACCATGAAGACAGGAAATTGATATTTTGCACATAATATATTTTGTAACCGACAGGTTACTAACCATGAGGCTATACTTGACATTTGATCTAACAGTGGTTATAGTATTCCTTGGATCATTAGCTGTATATCACTTTGTTGTTTATTTATAAAATAGAGTTTATTTATAAATAGAGTTTAGTTCATTGTTGATGCTGAAAATTCTAATTTCATTTGAAATTGATCGTAATACAATGTATCCATGTACCTTTAAGGCTAAACTGGAGAGCAAACATATAGCTATCTCTCTTACTAAACATCTAAAAATGAAAACATACTGCCGGTACCGGGTATTTATGAATAACTTTTCAATTTTGATTACCACACAACCTCGAACTAGACGCAATAAGCTACCACAAAGGGTTTAATATTGCAATAAAGTTAACAAATTTGAACATTTTCCCTTCTTGGTAACCATAGCAATAGTTTTATTTTCTTCAAGGGACACAGACTCAAGGAGTTCATTCAGTGCCCCTCGGATAATCCTCAGGGATATTAAACATATGTCATATGCACAGTCTTCAGATTCCCAGTTTTGGTATAAAACCAATAGTTCATACAAACAATTGAAAGAATGTAAAGTTTCTATTAGAGATATATTCGAAGACTCCTTTTCCGATCCCATGTCTTCTATTTCAAAATGTTCTGCGAAAAACTGTGAAACCTGTGACATTTTGATAACTAACACTTCTTTCACCAGTAATTTTACTGGACAGAGCTTCTGTACCAAAACTTGAGAAAATCTGAACTGCAAATCTTCTAATGTTGTCTACGGAATAGAATGTAATCTTTGTGGACTTGTTTATGTTGGTGAAACCAAGGGATCACTCAATAAAAGAACATCAGGTCATAGATTTCAGATAAATAATGGGGGTCAGCAACTTTTATACAAACATTTTAATTTACCTGATCATTCTATTTTGTCAATGAAAGTTAGAATTCTGGAAAAGATTTACCACCACACAAACAGTCCATCACTGAGTACACCTTTCAGTAGACAATGAGAAGAATTTTGGATAAGAAAGCTAGGGACAGCCTTTCCCTATGGATGTAATGACAATGTCAATAGTGTTGGAAATCTTTCCAGTCCACAGTGTAACAATGTAAATGTGATGGGACTTTTTAACCATACACAGAGACGTAAGCGTAGTCATGGGCATCGGTCTTACAATAAACCTTTAATACACGATGTCTCTTTTGATTCATTACTACCTTACGTAAATCAACAGTTAGGTCTACATCATATTCGCACCAAACTTTACTCTGTCCCTTTGAAACTTTTAAATAGTCTTCTTGAAAAGGTCAAGGAAAGTCCATTTTTTGATTCCTCGACACCAGAATATAGGCTCGGATCTGTAGTTACGGATATTGCCAATCATAGGCTTTTTAAACCCCCGCGTTTTACTGAAGAAAATGCAGCTAAAACAATCCGTTTTTTCCTTAAACTTCAATATGCCAACAAAGGAGTTGACGCGGTTAATATAAATAATATTCTTAATCACAAAAGGGTCCAGTCTTGTATTCCACCATATTTCAAGTTAAAGACTACACCTTGTATTTCCTACAAATATACATCGACTATTGCTTCCAAACTTTTTAATTACAAGAACACTTTACAGGGCCTGGATATCGAATATCTGAAACATAATCCTTCATCGTGTTCATGTTCTTCTTCGCCCTATAACTATAGTCCTGCTGGACACGTTATTACTGGTGACGTAAATATAGTTAATAATGAGGACCTTAGATCACTAATTTTAAAAGGTCCTAAATTTAGGGAACCCAGATCCTTCAACTGGCGTAAGAATTTCATAAATATTATGGATTCTGTAGAGGACTATGCCAGGCGATGGGCCAGACATGAAAAAGAAGACCTTGACACTTTGTCAGAATGGATTAAATGTATCAGATGTATGTTAAAATCGCGCATTAAAAGATTGAGAGGCAATATGAAAATCATCTATCCTTCTGTATTCAATAATCCAGAAGTGAAAAAAGAATTAGATAGATTACATGATCAGTACTTACTGGTCCCTGCTGACAAAGCAGGTAACAACATTGTTTTTGTTTGTAAGGCTCATTATATTAAATGTATTTTAGAGGAACTTGGATTTAATTCTACAAGTGGTAATCCAAACTTATACTCATAGTTCCCTTTCTAAGGAAGAAATTCTTCAAAATCATATGTCAGTTTTGAATATTTTTAATATTCCAAACAACCAAAATGAATTCGAATTACCATATTTATATTGGATTCCGAAACTTCATAAAAATCCTTACAAACAAAGATACATAGCGGGTTCCAGTAAATGTTCAACCAAGCCTCTATCTTTACTCCTCACTAAGATATTAACAGTGGTGAAGGAGAAACTTCAAGAGTACTGTGCAACAATATATTCGAGAAATGGTGTAAATCAGATGTGGATACTTAAAAATTCCAAGGAACTTTTGGAAAATTTGAAATCACAAGATTTTACCAAAATCAACAGCTTAAAAACTTACGACTTTTCAACTTTATACACAACCATTCCCAACGATAAATTAAAGTCCAGGCTTTTTGATATCACTGACAGCTGCTTTTTCAATAAAAATGGAACTCGTAAATATACTTACCTTGTCATTGGTCATTTGCAAAATTATTTTGTTAAAAAACATTCTGATTGTACACACAAGTACTCTGAAGTTGACATTAAAAAGATGCTTGAGTTTCTGATTGACAATATCTATGTGGTTTTTGGAGACCAGGACTTCCAACAATCTATTGGAATTCCTATGGGTACCAATTGCACCCCGCTGTTAGCAGACCTTTTTTTGTATTCATATAAGCAGAATTTGTCCAAAATCTTGTATGTGAAAAGAAGAAAACACTTGCTGTGGCGTTCAACTCGACATTTAGATATATCGACGATGTATCGTCAATTAACAATGGCTATTTTCATTCTTATGTCGATACGATATATCCTGGTGAACTTGAGATAAAAGATACCACAGAGTCTGACAAATCTGTTTCATATTTGGATATTTTACTTGAAAAAAACGTTAATGGTAATCTAACAACCAAGCTTTATGATAGACGTGATGACTTTAACTTTTCAATCGTCAACTTCCCTTACTTATGCAGCAATATACCTTCATCACCTGCATCTCTCAGTTGATTCAATACACAAGAGCATGCTCTACGTACGTACAATTTCTAAAACGAGGTAAATTATTGACAAATAAGTTGATGAAACAAGAATATCAGCTGTCTCGTTTAAAGTCATCATTTCGTAAGTTCTATGGTCGATACAATGACCTTGTCAGCAAATACAATTTATCATTGAGTCAAATGCTGATTGACGTTTTTCATACTAATTGTTAGGCCATTATTTACACACTGAATTGTCGACGGATTTTTCCGTTATTTCCCAATCATGACAAGGAGCACACGGCGGGTGTGACCGGTCGGCAGGGGATGCTCACTCCTCCATGGCACCTGATCCCACCTCTGATGTTTGGAGGTCCGTGTTTGCTCTGCTCCTATTTTGTATTGTATAATGGACTTTTGAGCTTGAATACTGTTCGTTATCTCCATATATTTCATCCAACTTTCTGTATTGTGTATTCAATTTTAGTTCTATCAGATATTAAGTACTTTTCAATGTGAGTCAAACAATATGTTTATTGATTAAAAGGTAACTAAATTCCTAAAAAAGCAAAAATTATCACTTTGATCCACCAGTACATTGTTTTCATGAAAACACTACAATGTAGCAATTAATCTTAATATAGCAGCATTAACAAAAACTTAGCAACAAATTTTGTGTGACTATGCTGTGTTACCATGGCAACCAAGAATATTATCTTTAGAATAATATTGCCAATATGTTATTAATTAAAGTCAAATATTTTAAATTTTTTTGTTGTTGATTTAGTGAACATTGAGCATTTTTCAGCATTTAAAATGTAACTGCATGTGGCCCCCACCCAAGTTTTCAGCTCAGGTGAACTAATCGTTTACAATAAGACAGAATGAAAAAAGGTCCATAATAGATGGATTTATAAGTTGATATTCATGCAGCTGTTACCTAGACTTGAAATAATATAGTGTTTGTTTACAGTTTAGGATGACCTGTTCTATTTTTTCCAACTCAAACAAATATACCTCCAAACTTAGTCCAAAGAGGCTATTTTTTCAGGTTACTTCATGATTGTGATTTTCTTTCAATTTTTTTTTTTAATTTAATTTATAACATATTTATTTTGTTCCTTCACTCTTGACCAGTTGTTGAATAATTATTGTGCAAAAGAAAACTATGTCTAAACAACATTTACTTACACTGAAAATTAAATTTCAGGAAATTAAAGGCATTGCAAACAGCCTTTTTAAAGTCTAGTACTAATTCATTATTTCTCCGTATAAAAGTACAAACTTACAATTGTAGAAACCTGAAGATTCTTGCCAAAGTTTTCAATGTTCTTGCTCAAGTTTCGGACCCATTCCTCTACACTGCAATGAAAAATAGAGAGTATGGATTTATCACCTTGCCTAAATTGATGCTTAGTTTAAATTGACATTTATAAGGCCTGACACATACAAGTTATTACTTGTATTCATTGATATACTGTAGATTCCTAGATAAGTACCACTTGTGAAACGAAATTACTTTTTATTTTTATATTGCTGAAAAACATGTAAACATCAATAGCCCACTAGTGTATTCACATTCTTGAGACTTGATGACATCGAGTCATTATGTGATATTAAGTACTCACATAAAATAGGAATGTACAGTATATCTATATTGATGATCTGTAATTAAATCAAAATTGCCAAAAGGTACAGATTGTACTTTTCAAAGATTCTTTGACCATTTACATTTCCCTTTTTTTAATTTGCTGAAAAAGATAAATGTAGCATTTCAAAAAAAAAAAAAAAAAAAAAAAAAAAAACACCTAGAAGGAAACCATTTCTTTTAAACTGTGATGTTTATGTAATGAATTATAATAGTATAATAATTTAATGAATTAAAATATATATATATATATATTTAACAATTCAATTCAATATAATTTAATAATTTTTTTTTCATTTCATTGAGCATGTTGAGTATCAAACAATGAATGAAATGTTAAGGAATAAGGAAGCTCTAAACACTAAGGAAAAATTCTTTTTGAACTTTGACAAAATTGTATTACATGTATATAAAGGTGTACACATTGAGTTTTAATGTGGATCATTTTCAACATTTGGTACCTGCCTTATTTCTCCAAGAAAAATGCTCAAAGTCAATGAAGTATTAGTGTACAGAAATCACTGTTGTTTACTTTTAAAGTCATTTGTCCGATTTAGACGCGTTTTTTTTCTAACACAGTAGAAGTACACGTATACATAGAGTACATGTGTGTACAAAAATTAATATGCAACTGTTTTCTTTTATTAATACAATTTTTATATCAAAAACCTTGGTCAAAACTCATGTTGACAAAACAATTCACAATTAGCTTTATCTTGGTTTAATGTAATATTAGGAATACTTCAATCTATTTCAAATGAAGTCATGTACTGTAGATTTCTATTTATTCAAAAGGCATATTACATTAATATTGCATAAAACTAAAATGTAATTAGAACTCTTCAGTGAGCAGTGTTTAGAGCTTCCTTAAGTTCTACATCATTCAATTAAAAAAAATCAGTCCCTGTAATAATTTCATTCATTAATATAATCATAACTGGGAAAATAAAACAAATGACTTGCAAATCATGTGTGTGTGGCTTTGGGTGTGTGTGGGGGGGGGGGGGGGGCATTTACATACTTTCAATTTTTTCCTTAGGAAAATTTCACTTTCACAGAATGGTAATGCTATGCATTACCATGTAACCAAATAGGCAAGTTACTTTACATGAGTGAAGTCATATATAAAGAGAATCCAATTTTAAATTTTGTGTTTGGAGTGTCTGGTCATGATAAGGCTAATATAATTGGTAATAACTGGCATAAATTAATTACTAAGTCCAGTTCCAGTTATATCTTTCCTGCATATAACACCAAAGATCTTGCCAGGGATTCCTCCACATGTGTCAGTTATTATACACAACACACACAATCAGTGGTGTCAAATAACAAGCACTTCTTTCCAGCTTGAAGCCTTCAGTGCTTTAAACCCATCAATGCAGTCTCCATTAGTATTTTACAAATAATTGATATAAAAACTATTATTTCATGCAGATAAAATAATTATTCACTAAGTTAATCTATGTTTCAGTAATTTCTAAAGTAACCCTCGGGTGCCTCTCACCCTCGTCTGTCAAAGTCAGCCTGTCTGCTTCAGTACCCGAAAATAGATGTGCTTCGCTTTTAAAAAAAAAAAAGATTACTCAAATTGCATCAGCATTTAAGATATAAAACTTACCGTGTTTGATCTGGCATATTGTCTCCAGTGCTGAATACGGGTAGTAAAAACACAAGGAGAAACATCCTTCTAATATGATACCCAGTCGCCATGATGTCTCGTTTTGGTGTATATCAACATATAAACTAGTTCCCTGTCCAATTCGCTAGACTGTGATAGTGCCGTGAGTCTAATTGCCAAGAAAAACTCACGTTTTTAAGCTTTAACAATTCAATATGCAATTCTTGATTCAAATATGATTATTGATAAGCAGGAGTGGAAGAGTTTATGAGGTGTCATTTAATATTAACATAATTACGAATTAGTTTTGGATCGACTTAACAAGTATGAGGACTAGTTTAGTACAGATGAAAATGCAAAGTGAGTGTGTGTGTATATTTGGGGAGCTCAAATAAAATAAAATAGACTGCTCATAGCATATGGATTGCTGTGCTAAAGAAGGGATAACAATAAGCATTTAGATTCCATAACATGCCCAAATACAATTTGTATTTTAATAGAAATTATTATGTTACAGGTTCAGATAAACCCATTTTAGAAAGTTTGAATTTGTTCTACCATGAATCTGAAGTGACAGGTCGAGGAGAATCTCCAACACAAAGTTCTAAAGAGGTTCAGTGTTTGTTTTGTCCAGACAAATTCAATATCAGCAGTCAGAAAGAGGATCTTCTGAAGCATCTAGCTGTGGAACACAAGTTCGTCATCGGAGACGTCAACCTTATTACTGATCTAAAAAAGTGAGTTAAATTTAGTAATAATATGTTATTGCATTGAGTTTTTAAAGGCCGAGGTTTTCAACCGGTCGGTTTTCCTCAGGCAAGTTTAGTGTGGGGTGGAGCTTAATCGAAACGGCTGTGAAGCCCTGAGGGAACCACGCTGGCTTGTGTATATCTACCTATATACACAGGATGTTACCTGTATAACCTGTACACATTTTCTTACGACATGGTAAAACAATGTCATTGTTATTTTTTGTGTGGGTCAATCGAAATGTTGACCGTCAAATTTACTAAATAAAGCATGCTAAATTTTTGTCAGGGACATACTTCTAGTTCAATTCCTTCTATTAGAATTAATATGTTTTAATAATTAGACAATTTCAATATAACCGTGTGTTTGTTAATTAATTTCAAATGTTAAAATGAATATTGGACCAAAATCTTTCGTTGTAAGCTGGCGACACAAAGGGAAGTAATTCGAATTTCAAGCCATGTATGGCAAAACAAAAGAAGAAAGGGGGTCATGAATAAGTCTCTAAGTAAATAAGACTTATTTTATAAGTCTCTAACTAAAAAAGACTTATAATAAACTAAATAATTCTTTTTTAAAGATAATTCGTACGTGATTTTTCCATGATGCATGACGCATGGACTTCAAAAATTGTAAGGTCTTTGGGTCGGGTGTGGTCCCTCGACAGTTAGGCGAAACGGGAATTGAATCATCTGTATCCTTCCCATCGGGATTCGTAATTTCAAATATTATAAACAAAGCAAGATAATGTAATATGACTAATTTCTCTTCTAAAACTGGTTATTATACCGTAACTTTCTTCACCATGTCTCGAAGAAAAGCGACACATACAATCAAGTACTTGTCTTAACTTTATAAAATTTCACTTGAACAATATTACAGAGTTGTCATAATCATTTTTGAAAAAGATATATTATTATATTTAATTACGTGATACTTCAAAAGAGGGTAGGTATATTCTGTTTAAATTAAAATAAATTTATGTATAAATAAAGTTATGTTTTGACTAACTGTATAATTATCGATTGTAATCGTGAAATGAAATTCACCCTTCTTAAATTATATTTTAAATATATATGCATGATTTTCCCTAGCATTTATCTAATTATTTGCAGAATTATATTTATATATTATATTTATATATATATCATATTCCTAAGGATTAAAAAAAAAACAGAGCTTTATCACGTTGATATATGCGGTAGGCATCAAAAGCCTGAATGTTAGTTCGATGGTCTGTACGATATTCAGACAAGGTACACATGATATACACAAAAGCGGAAAACTAAATGTTAATCAAATCCAAGTATCCAATCTCAGGCTTAATTTCAGGTGATTGACAGGGGTTCTAAGACCAGGTAAATTTGAAGGAGGTGCTTATTTCCTCCCCCTTTAAGCCCTGGAATTGAAAATTGGTGGCATATTGTTTTGTCTAGTTATCTGTCTTTTTTGGGGGGGGAGGGGGGGGTCACTGGAGAACAATGCCAGAAGGCCTCAATGCCACAGTAAGACTATTTGCTGATGACACTATTGCTTATCTTACTGTCACAGCAGAATTGGATACCCAGACACTCCAGGCCAACCTAGATAAATTGGGCATATGGGAAAGGAGGTGGAAAATGGAATTCCACCCAGACAAGTGTAATGTACTCTCGGTCAGCAGGAAGTCCAACCCGATACATCATCAATATAGGCTACATGGCCGTACTCTCGAGCACGTAAAGAGGGCGAAATACCTTGGCTGTCTAATAACATCTGACCTGAAATGGAATGACCATATAAATAACATCTGTGGTAAAGGAAATAAGACCTTGGGATTCCTCCGTCGTAACTTGAACATCAGTTCAACTTCAATAAAGGAGAGTGCATACAAATCGTTAGTCAGACCACTGTTGGAGTACACAGCACCTGTCTGGGACCCCTACACCCAAAAAGACATCCATAACCTAGAAATGGTACAACGACGTGCTGCAAGATACGTAAGCAACAGGCATGGCAACAGATCGAGTGTAGACAGCATGATTCAACACCTACAGTGGCAGTCACTTGAAGAACATAGGCGAATATCCAGACTCGTCCTATTTTATAAAATTGTTCATGACGAAGTTGCCATCACCAAGTGCCATCGACTCATTCCATCATTACGTCGATCACGACATACTCATCATAAAGCCTACCAAATACCATCCTGTAAGAGCGATTATCAAAAGTATTCCTATTTCCCTCGTACCATCCAAGAGTGGAATAAACTACCATCAGGAATAGTCTCGGTGAATACACCTGAGACCTTTAGGTCTCAGGTGATCGCCTTCCAGCCATAAATAAGAAATATTATTTTAATCTTTTAACCTTTTAAAGTTTTAATCTTGATCATATCATGCACACCACATTTGCCATAATAATCAGCTTGTTGATTGTGGGCAATACTTGGCAGAAGCAGAAGAAGACCAGTCCCAGGTGGGGCTTAGTTGGTCATATCCTGAGAAATTTAATGATACTCAGATGACTGTCAAAACCAAATCCCCTCACAAATCCAGTTGTATTATACATTTTGTTTCTTTTTGTACATTCAGATATCTCACCTACTGGAGGCAACGATTTTTAGAAGAGGATGTTACAAATTTTTGCTCTGTTATAACTACCAGCACCAAGCAAGATGTGAAAGGTAAAACATTCTTGCCATCTGTTGCATAAAAGTAAGAGAGAAGATAAAGCCCAGCAGGAAGTGACTCGCTTACTGTCAGCAGATGGAGGTGCTGTAGTATAACGCTTTTATTAGGATTATTGAATAATGTTTACTTGATCCTGTGTCTTTAGATTTGACTCAGTATTTACTCAGTATTTAAAGAAACACTGGGATTTCAAATTTTGGTGTCTTTAAAGTGAATTCATGTTGCCAGCCAAAAATGATAATACCAGAGCTGTTAGGTAATTGCACTGCAAAGGTGAATGAAGTGCATTTTTAATTTTCACAAATGAGGGCATTTAGGCATTCACTTTTATTATTTGCAAAACAGAGCTGATGCCAATTTTTAGCATTGAAAATTGTCCTTATCTTTTTTTGTTTCTTTTAACAGATTCAAATGAACAGTATTACTTGTTGTGTGATGTCCTTGCTGAAGATAAAACACTTAGAGAATTTTTACAGAAAAAGAAACTAGTAAGTTTTGTGTTCTCCTAGACATGTGTGTACATAAAACTGATTTATTTTAATGCTCCACAAAAGTGATGACCTGAAAAAATAAATTTAAATTTCTCCTTTATTATTACAAAGTAAAATTGTTTGGTTTATTTGACAACAGGAAAAAGTTTTAGCTCAGCAACAAAAGGAAAGAGAAGATGAAAACTTCTGTAGAACCTGTCTGTTCTGTAGAGATCAATTTACAGGTAACAGGTGAGATATTACCTTGACAACTTCTGTAGAACCTGTCTGTTCTGTAGAGATCAGTTTACAGGTAACAGGTGAGATATTACCTTGACAACTTATGTAAAATCTGTCTGTTCTGTAGAGATCAGTTTACAGGTAACAGGTGAGATATTACCTTGACAACTTCTGTAGAACCTGTCTGTACTGTAGAGATCAGTTTACAGGTAACAGGTGAGGTATTACCATGACAACTTCTGTAGAATCTGTCTGTTCTATAGAGATCAGTTTACAGGTAACAGGTGAGATATTACCAAGACAACTTCTGTAGAACCTGTCTGTTCTGTAGAAATCAGTTTACAGGTAACAGGTGAGATAATACCTTGACAACTTCTGTAGAACCTGAGTGTTCTGTAGAGATCAGTTTACAGGTAACAGGTGAGATATTACCTTTACAACTTCTGTAGAATCTGTCTGTTCTGTAGAGATCAGTTTACAGGTAACAGGTGAGATATTACCTTTACAACTTCTGTAGAATCTGTCTGTTCTGTAGAGATCAGTTTACAGGTAACAGATGAGATATTACCTTGACAACTTCTGTAGAACCTGTCTGTTCTGTAGAGATCAGTTTACAGGTAACAGGTGAGATATTACCTTGACAACTTCTGTAGAACCTGTCTGTTCTGTAGAGATCAGTTTACAGGTAATAGGTGAGATATTACCTTGACAACTTATGTAAAATCTGTCTGTTCTGTAGAGATCAGTTTACAGGTAACAGGTGAGATATTACCTTGACAACTTCTGTAAAATCTGTCTGTTCTGTAGAGATCAGTTTACAGGTAACAGGTGAGATATTACCATGACAGCTTCTGTAGAATCTGTCTGTTCTGTAGAGATCAGTTTACAGGTAACAGGTGAGATATTACCTTGACAACTTCTGTAAAATCTGTCTGTTCTGTAGAGATCAGTTTACAGGTAACAGGTGAGATATTACCTTGACAACTTCTGTAGAATCTGTCTGTTCTGTAGAGATCAGTTTACAGGGAACAGGTGAGATATTACCATGACAACTTCTGTAGAACCTGAGTGTTCTGTAGAGATCAGTTTACAGGGAACAGGTGAGGTATTAACATGACAACTTATTCAGATACATGTACCTATTTTGTCACTTTACTGTTTTTTTTACAGGGCAGAAATGTTTGATCACATGACCCATGATCATGGATTCAGTGTTGGACTTCCAGATAATCTGGGTATAATTTTTTTGCTTCTTTAATTTTATGCTCATTAAATACATGATAAATTATTGATGCCTAATCAAAATGACTCTTAGATCCAAAACAACATTTGGTGAGCAAAGTTCTAAAAGATAGAACTACAGTAAACATATTACATTGTATATGAAGCACCCTTGGTGGAAAGCAGCTTCAGCTAAATCAAGTATATTTCTAAATATTTACATTTCCAAATATTTTTCCTGAAGATTCTTTGCAAATTAGAAGACTGTTCATTTTCTCATGAACTACCATGGATGAGCATGAATATCTCCATTGTTACGTCAGAATACCGTACTTGATGTCAAAACTATAGTGCAAACTGTTTTGCTTTAAAAATGACATTTGAATTGCGTAAATTGTGGAAAAAATAATGTAAATATGAGAAATGAATTTAATTTTTGAAGATTCATGAGGTACATGAACTACAACGCTTCACGCCGGCATATTTATCATGAAGTGCTAATGCGCTTCATGAAATATGCCGACATGAAGCGTCATAGTTCATGTCCTCATGAATCTTCAAAAATTAAATTCATTTCTTAAATGTCATGCATATATAAGCATGAATATATGCAATCAGAAATTCACCTAATCAAGTCATGCTAACTTGTCCATGTTGAAAAATCACTTTCCACCAATTATCATAAACACTAAATATATTTATAGTATTTGTTCTATGGCAATGTAAATCATATTGAAAAACTTTGAAGTTGGTCACTCCCAAAGGCCAGAAAAGAGTGTTATGCATTGAAGTTTGTCAATTACCTGTCTGGCTTTAGTGAGGCTCTAAATTGTACAAAGGAATTTAGACATGTTCTTTAATCATTTTCTCTTCAGTCTACACAGATGAACTCCTTGATCACCTACAAGAAAAGCTAGAAAAGTATGTTTAAATCAAACAGTTCAACTTTATTACATCTTAAGTTTAATATTTAATGATATATCACTTACTCTATCATCATTGAGAGATGAGACTTCCTTAAACATAATAAAATTTTGGTAATAGGTTACTTAACCTATAAGTAGCTAGAAATTTCACTTAAGACTTGAAACATGTATTTGTTGTCACTGTGAGACATTAGTTGAAGAAGAAAGCTCGTTCATAAAAATTAACAGTTATGTACAGGTATTATATCAAATCTTCAGTGAATAGACATTTTTTTTTTAGTTTACAATGTTTATACTGTGAGCGAATATTCAAAGACAAAACAGTATTAAAGGAACACATGAGGAAAAAACAGCATAAAAAGATTAACCCCAAAAACAGACAGTATGACAAGTTCTACATCATTAACTACCTGGTAAGTCTTGTATGTCATTAGTATAGTAGTGAACTAGTAGTACATGTAAACTATATACTTACTTTAATTTACCAAACTGCTGCTTTTAAAATTTCTATTTCCTTTTTAAATAGTAAACTCCTTAAAAACTGAATTTGCATTTCTCATGTTGGTGAAATGCAAACATATACAGTAAAACGTGTTTAAAGTGAAGTGTCAAGGAGGATAATTATAATGATCTCTTATACCGTATATACTCGCTTATAAGTCAGTTTTTTGGGAGTTAAACTTTGGTCCAAAACTCTTTTTCCGACTTATACGCGAGGTATTGGTGGGTCAATCCCTCTAATTTAAGCTTAAAAAATATAACCGACTTGTATGCAATACGGTAAACATAATTGGTAAAAACCTTAAATTGTAGATGAATAAAACTCACTTTGCTGTAATCATGAATTCATTGTAAGCATGTTGGTTGTAACCAGTTTTTACTGTAGTCAGAGAGGTGTAATGTGAGATCAAAAACAGAAAACTTACTGAAAAGTAGGGATGTCAACGAATAGGCGACTATTCAACTATCAGTCGAATGGACCGACGATCGAATAATGAATCGACATTCGAATATTATCATAATGAAATAATTGCAATAAAAGAGTGATGACGTGATGGAATTCTCATCACAAAATTGAGAAACCGTCTTTCCCCAGAGACAGTCGATAAGATAATTTTCCTCAACAAAAAAAAAACAGTTGATTTTCATTGAACGCATAGATAGTGAAGTAATTTTAAGTGCTTCATTACTGCCGCGTATTATTTATCAGTAACAGCCTGTGTTGTTTTTGTAATTAATTACCCACCAATTTACTAGGCTTCAATTGCTTGTAAATAATTAATTGGACTTGATCTTATACCATGTACCCATTATTTTTTGTTATTTTAAGATTGCTCAAACGCAAGGAAGAAACCATAACTGTGACATATTTTGACACTTCGATAATTATTAAAACAATTAGAATTTAAACTGTATAAGGACATTTTGATAGCCAGAGCAAACAATAATCGAATAAGCAGTATCTAACTGTCTAACAATTTCAAGGGCACTTGATGTGTGGATAGTGTGAGATTAAGCCCCTCCCCCAATTTATTTCATAATAAGCTTTAAAAAATATCTCCTGGCAATTTTTTTTCTTTGCTTACTAAAATAAAAACTGACTGCTTGTACAGACTGATTACTAAATTCTGTTGACGGGGAAATCATAAATTTTGGAGAATTAGGTTTCGAAATAAAAAAAAAATCATGCTATCCATCCGTTAGGTTGCATAAATTTTGATGTTACTTTTTAAATAGATTTAAATAAAAGGATTTCTGAGTTATAAATACAATATGTACCAGTGAAGTTTGAAATACAATTTTATTTTACAGAAAATGTTCCGGATATATTCGACTATCGTTCGAATAATGCAATCGAATAATCGACTAAGGAAAATAAATATTTTGACATCCCTACTGAAAAGTGTTAAATGTTGATTGACAGGAGATTGGGAGAAGTTGGGAGATGTATATCAGTTTGTGACTGTATGATAACTGTTGATTGACAGGAGGTGGGGTGGAGTTGGGAGGTTTATATCAGTTTGTGATTGTATTATAACTGTTGATTGACAGGAGATGGGGGGGAATTGGTAGGTGTATATCAGTTTGTGATTGTATGATAACTGTTGATTGACAGGAGATGGGGGGAGTTGGGAAGTGTATATCAATTTGTGATTGTATGATACTGTTGATTGACATGAGATGGGGAGGAGTTGGGAGGTTTATATCAGTTTGTGATTGTATGATAACTATTGATTGACAGGAGAAGGGGAGGGTTTTATAGGTGTATATCAGTTTGTGATCGTATGATAACTGTTGTTTGACAGGAGATTGGGAGGTGTGTATCAGTTTGAGATTGTATGATAACTATCAATTGACAGGAGATGGGGAGGAGTTGGGAAGTGTATATCAGTTTGTGATTGTTGATTGACAGGAGATGGGGAGGAGTTGTGAGATGTAATCAGTTTGTGATTGTATGATAACTGTTGATTGACAGGAGATGGGGAGGAGTTAGGAGGTGTATATCAGTTTGTGATTGTATGATAATTGTTGATTGACAGGAAATGGGGAGGAGCTGGGAGGTAATCCAGGCAGAACCAGATGAGGAGGGAGGTGAGGAGGAGGAGACAGAAACAGATAATGATGAGTAAGAGAGAGAGAGAAACTTTGTCCCTGTTTTAATCAGATCCATGAGATTTTTGTACATGTAACTGACACACTGAAGGGTCCCATGGAGCTTTGTACGAGGGGTACTCAGGGCTTTCAAAATCTGCCAGTATCAGGTACTTTTTCCTGGCTGAAATTAGAATCGTACCAGCCAAAAATTATTCAATGAAGAAAAATTTGATAACATTTTAATTAAATTTCATCTGCCAGGTACCTCCTATTTTTGTAAAAGTACAATCTGTTTAAAGTCTTTTTGAAAGCCCTGGGTACCATATAAGGGACGAATATCTCATAGTGTTAATATCTGCTATATTTGGGATCAAGATAAAGTTTTGAATTCCAAAAACAGTGGACCAATTACAAGCTTAAAGATTAATATAATTATGCACATTGTAGACAAACAGTACTTTATCTTTGGTTGATTTCAAACACCCAGTGTTAGCTATTGTGGGGAAAAAGTAAAAGTAAACATTGGCAAATATAACCCATACAAAGAAATTGCTACATGGAGACTTCCTAAGATCTTAAAGTGATACTGTGTTTTTATGGGTCCTTTAAATCTTTGTAATTAACTTTTTGTTAGTAAATAGCACCTTAAATCTTTGTAACTGATGCTGTGTATGGATAGAGTCCAAAGTTTTTATTTAAGTTGAGGACCCCTGAGATCTTTTTAATTGATGCCATGAATTTCAGAAGCTGGGGAGACTGGGAAGAAGTGGGGTCACAGGCAGTGTGTCTCTTCTGTGATTTCTCGTCTTGTGTGGCTGACAAACTCACAGATCATATGCAGGTCAGAATATCTCGGAAAAAAATAAGTGATAAAGTAGATCATATGTCTTTTCCTGTTAATGTAATTTTTTGTTTAATAATTATAACCAGAATTTTTGTTTAATAATTATAACCAGAATGATGAAATTTAAGGATAAACTATTTAAATTTTCTTCCTACACTAGGAACTACATGACTTTGATCTGAAGGAGGTGAAACTGCGACTTAACTTGAACTTTTACCAACAGATCAAGTTAATCAACTTTATGAGACGACAGGTAAGCTAGGGAGCATCTAGAGTACACATGTTTTGTCTCCTAGGTTGACTTGCTATGCTCTGCCACTAAGACTCTGATTTATCACTGAATCCCTTTCAGGTCTATTTAGGGAACTGTTATGGCTGTGGAGAGAAGTTTGCAGACAAGAGAGAATTGATGGAACATATGCACACTCAACAACATGTGGACAGGTTTCCTGATACAGCTATTTGGGACCAACCTCAGTAGGTACATTAGAATAAACTCTGCATTTACAGTCAGTAGTTATATATGGTTGATGGCTATTTCCAAAATATATTGCAAACATCAAAAATCTTCTTTACTGAACATAAAATCAAGGTATCAAAAATCTTCTTCATCAAATCAGCTATCAAAATGTGGGCATGATTATATAATGAGCAATGAGCCCTCCACTATTGACTAAAAGTGTGAAATTTATGACATCTGGATACAGGCCCCATGTTGGGGTTAACTTGGTCATATTTTAAAGTGCAATAAATTTAAGAAAATCTTTGTACTCCTAGACATCAAGCACACAAATGCATGTTTATGATGAGCAATGAACTCCCCACCAAACCTGTGAAATTAATTTCCCTTTGGTTCAGGCCCCAGGGTGGGGATAAGTTGATCATATCTTGGGAAAACACACGACATATTTTTTCTCATGGACATCTAGTTGACACACTGTTTGCTTGAATACAGTAAGTGCTCAGACAATAACCAAAATTGTAACATTCATGTTCCCAAGGTCAGAACCCCAGGGTGGGCTGAGTTGGTAATATACTAAAACTTCATTACATCTATTTAAATCTTTATGGACTTTTAACAGACAAACTGTTTGCATGATTATATGAGCAGCTTAACTACCCCTTTGATAAGATTCAAATTTGTGTCCCCTGAGTACAGAATTCAGGCCCCATGGTTAGTTTCAGTTAGTCATATATTGAAATTTTATGATACAGTGCATCTTCGAAAATTTTATTCTTTCTTGCAGATTTTATGTAGTATTAAGGTATTTGCCCTTAAAGCTATTTTCCATGTCCAAATTTGTGAAATAGTGTCTATCAAAGGGTTGGGCTAAGTTGGGCAAATTATTTAAAATACCCTGTATCTTATTACCCAATCATGACAAGGAGCACACGGTGGGTGTGATCGGTCAGCAGGGAATGCTCACCTCTCCATGGCACCTGATCCCACCTCTGATGTGTTAGAGGTTTGCTCTACTCCAAAATTTGTATTGTTTAATGGACTTTTGAGCTTGAATACTGTTCGTTATCTCCATACATTTCATATCAGATCTTCTCTAATTCAAATCATCTAGTGCAAAATATACGCATATGATACTGGACCTAGAGTCCTCTTCAGAATGTAGTTTCATGTTGGGGCTGAGTTTTTAGCTCTACTGGTCAGAGACCAGAAGAGTTTATGCGATAGTAAGGTGTCCGTCGTCCGTCCGTCTGTCTGTCTAGCTGTCTGTCCGTCCGTCTGTAAAAATTTTTCAAAACGCTACTCCTCCTACAGTTTTGATCTGATTTCAATAAAACTTGGCACACAAGTAGACTACACTAAGAAACATAATTCTGTGTATCGTATTTTGATTTCAATCAACGGTGTTGCCATGGTTACTAAAAATAGAGATTTCTGGGAAATACTTTCAAAATGCTACTTGTCCTACAGTTTTGGTCTGATATCAATATAACTTGGCACACAAGTAGACTTTAATAAGATACATAATTCTATTTATCGGTTTTTGATTTCAATGAACGGTGTTGCCATGGTTACTAAAAATAGAAATTTCTGTGGAAAAACTTTCAAAACGCTACTCCTTCTACAGTTTATATTTGATTTCAATATAACTTGGCACACAGGTAGACTAAAATAAGATACATAATTCTGTGTATCAATTTTTGATTTCAATGAATGGTGTTGCCATGGTTATAAAAAAAGAAATTTCTGTGAAATTTGTTCAAAATGCTACTCCTCCTACAGTTTTGGTCTGATTTCAGTATAACTTGGCACACAAGTAGACCATAATAAGATACATAATTCTGTATATCGGTTTTTGATTTCAGAGGACGGTGTTGCCATGGTTACTAAAAATAGAAATTTCCTTGAAATACTTTCAAAATGCTACTCCTCCTACACTTTTGTCTGTTTTCAGTATAACTTGGCAATTACAAGTAGAATACATTGAGATACATAATTGTCGTTATTGTTCTTTGATTTTGTTGAATGATGTTGCCATGGATACTTAAATCCAAATTTCTGTAAAATTGTTTTAAAAGGCTACTCCTCCTACAGTTTTAGTCTGATTGCAATAAATCTTGCCATAAAAAGAGGCTAAACCAAGGATCATTATTCTATTTATTGCTGTTGCAAAGTTTCAAGTCCAAGTGCTACTTTTATCTTCCTTTATAAGTACAACCAGTAGAGCTACAGTCTCGTCAGAGACTTCTGGTTCATGTCAGCAATTGATAACCTGCAGAACACCAAGGCCCCTGTAGTTTTGCTATTCCATTTCTTGAATAAATTACAGATTTTATGTCTAAGATGAGCATGTTACCTTTTCAGTTTGTTGCCATGTTTATACATGTACCTATTGTGCTAATCAATAATCAGAGGTAGCTGTCACCCAGATTGATGAGAAATCCCATTCTTTTCAAGTCTTAAAACATTTAAACGAGAAAAAACAATGTATTCAAATACAATGGATCCAATTCTTAGAGTTGAGATTTTTAATGGATGTGTACATCATCAAAATCTTGTCTTTTTAGCTCACCTCGACGAAGTCGAGATGAGCTTATGCTATACCCCCGGCGTCGGCGTCGGTGTCGGCGTCGGCGTTAGCGTCGGCGTCCCAGGTTAAAGTTTTAGGAGCAAGTCCCATTCCCAAGTAACTATAAGCCCTACTTGGACCAAACTTGCATGGATGATGCATCTAGGGATGGACACTACCACACTTGCTTCGGATGCTGGATCTGACCTAGATTTTCCAGATGAGTGACCAGGTTAAAGTTTTAGGAGCAGGTCCATTCCCAAGTAACTATAAGCCCTACCTGGACCAAACTTGCATGGATGATGCATCTAGGGATGGACACTACCACACTTGCTTCGGATGCTGGATCTGATGTAGATTTTCCAGATGAGTGACCAGGTTAAAGTTTTAGGAGCAGGTCCATTCCCAAGTAACTATAAGCCCTACCTTGACCAAACTTGCATGGATGATGCATCTAGGGATGGACACTACCACACTTGCTTCGGATGCTGGATCTGACCTAGATTTTCCGGATGAGTGACCAGGTTAAAGTTTTAGGAGCAGGTCCATTCCCAAGTAACTATAAGCCCTACCTTGACCAAACTTGCATGGATGATGCATCTAAGGATGGACATGGCCACACATACTTCGGATGCTGGATCTGATGTAGATTTTCCAGATGTGTACCAGGTTAAAGTTTTAGGAGCAGGTCAATTCCCAAGTAACTATAAGCCCTACCTGGACCAAACTTGCATGGATGATGCATCTAGGGATGGGCACTACCACACTTGCTTTGGATGCTGGATCTAACCTAGATTTTCCGGATGAGTGACCAGGTTAAAGTTTTTAGGAGCAGGTCCATTCCAAAGTAAATATAAGCCCTACCCGGACCAAACTTGCATGGATGATGCATCCAGGGATGGACAGTACCACACTTGCTTCGGATGCTGGATCTGACCTAGATTTTCCACATGTGAGACCAGGTTTAGATTTAGGAGTAGTCTCGTTCCCAAGTAACTATAAGCCCTACCTGGACCAAACTTTAATGGATGATGCATCTAGGGATGTACACTAACCAACCTGCTTCGAATGCTGGATCTGACCAAGATTTTCCACATGAGTGAATTTTAGCCATATTTTAACCAAATCAGCATGGATGATGTATCTAGGGATGGATACTTCCAGACTTGCCTTGGATTCTGAATCTGACGTACATTTTCCAGATGAGTGACCAGGGTAATTTTTTGGAGTAGCTATATAATATTATGGTCTGTTATGATTAAACTTGCATAGATGGTGCATCTAAGGATGAAAACTTCCAGACTTGCTTTGGATGTTGGAACTGACCAAAATTTTCTTGATTACTAAACAGGTCAAAAGTTTTTTGAGCAGATCTATAATTAAATCAAACTTGCATGGATATTGATCTTGGGATGTACCCTAACTAGAAAAAAAATATGATGTGAAATTTGCCTTACATGTAGATAACATTCGTCGAGGTGAGCTTCGTAATCTTTGATTACCTATGTTTTTATAGGTATTTTTTCCCAACTTATGAGAATGACAATTTACTATGTCAGCTAGAGGATGATGAAGACTCAGGCGAGGGGGCAGGTGGAAGAAATCAGGTGATCGCCGAGGATCTTCCCCCTATCACTACTATACTGACACAGGAAAGTGTCCGGAGGGATATTCTATCCTGATCAGGACAGTTTAAAACAGGGAAATTTTAGCTGCAATAATGTAGCCCTCTCCCTTTTTTTTTTTTTTTTTTTTTTTTTTTTTTGGGAGAGGGCTACAACTCCTAAAGATCTCTGTAATGGTGCAAGTGCGGGAGTGATTCACTCCCGCACGAATTTCGGCTTAAATTATCAGTAAATGGCTATTTAATTGACATTTCTTACCTGAACTCCAAAAATGTAGTTATGCAAAACATAAATCAATCCAAACATACACAGAACAATCCATATATCGGTTATTTTTCGTGTATGTCAACATCACAACTTGAATTTATCCGCCATGTTTACTGACCTTGATCGATTTTATTTTGGGACAGCCAATGAGACAAGGGATCTCTAGGGAGCGGATCTCTGTATGAATTACCTTATTTTAGGCATAAATATCGCTGTTTACGAAAAAAATGTCACATGGAATAGTTTTATTTATAAACATTTAATGATGCCATACAGCATAATCATTTAGTAACCCCGAAAATCTACTTTACAAAGTAATTTATAATTTTCAAGCGCAAGTCTCAGTGCATCACGCGAGAACTGTCATGGCTTCTGATGAGAGCGACTGGTAAACAAGCAGATTTATTTTATCTGGTTTTCGCGTTTAACGGGCTATGTTGTTGACAGTGAATAAAAATTTCGCCTTTTTAGAAGTAAGTTGAATGTAAAAACAATTTATTTTGCCTGCAGTCGCCCGTATTTAAAAAATATATTTGCACCATTACAGAGATGCTGTGGAATTGTAGCCCTCTCCAGAAAAAATCGGATAAAAAAAATCGGAGAGGGCTACATTATTGCAGCTAGGGAAATTTTATCTCGACCAGGAGATTGTTAGGAGAGACATTATGTATTGACTCAGGAGAGTAAGACAGGAAACATTATGTCATGACCAGGGAAAAAACCTGGAATCTTCATCAGAAAACTTTAATCTTGATTAGAAAAGTGTGGAGGCATTTTATCAGGATTTATATCTTGTGATGAGATTTGTGATAAAATAAATTGTTTTTGTTGCATTATTATTGTTTGGTTTTCAGTTGGCCAAGAGAAGCGACATCACATAGATGTTTACTGTACATGTGGAAACCTTGACAGAGGGAAGTAAAATTTGATATGAAATTGATGATTGACCATGTACATTTTTAGGTCACCTGAGTCACTAAGGTGACCTATTGCTATCCGTTTTTGTCCGTCGGCGTTCGTCTTTTGTCGTGCGTCAGTGCGTTAACATTTGAACATTTTTAGCTTCTTCTCTGAAACAGTTCAACCAATTTCAACCAATTTTGGCATATAGCACCTATGGGTGAAGGGGAACAAAAATTATGAATTTCATGGTCCCTGCCCCCCTGGGGCCTGAGGGGTGGGGCTAAAACCACCAAAATAAATGCAATCTTTAAAAATCTTCTTCTTTACTCATGGACATCAAGCAGTCAAACTGTTGGCATGATTGTAATAAGGATTGAGGCCTTAACTAAAATTGTGAAATTCATGGCCCCACGGTCAGGGATTGTGGTGCTAGGGTGGGGCTATATACATCATATAGTGAAAATGCATTATTTCTTTGAAAATCTTCTTCTCTGCTCCTGGGTATGAAATAAACTAACTAAGTACATAGTTATGATGAGCATGGCTGCCTCTTCCAAAATTGTGAATTTCATGGCCCCTGGGTCAGGGGTTCTGGTATTAGGGCGGGGCTTTATTGATTATATAGTGAAAATGCATTAAGTCTTTGAAAATCTTCTTCTCTGCTCCTGGGTATGAAATAAACTTACTAAGTACATAGTTATGATGAGGAAAAGTGCCTCTACCAAGATTGTGAATTTCATGGCCCCAGGGTCAGGGTTTCTGGTGTTAGGGTGGGGCTCTATTGATTATATAGTGAAAATGCATTAAATCTTTGAAATCTTCTTCTCTGCTCCTGGGTATGAAATAAACTTACTTAGTACATAGTTATGATGAGCAAAATTGCCTCTACCAAGATTGTGAATTTCATGGCCCCAGGGTCAGGGGTTCTGGTGTGAGGGGGCTTTATTGATTACATAGTGAAAATGCACTAAATCTTTGAAAATCTTCTTCTCTGCTCCTGGGTATGAAATAAACTTACTAAGTACATAGTTATGATGAGCAAAATTGCCTCTACCAAGATTGTGAATTTCATGGCCCCAGGGTCAGGGGTTCTGGTGTGAGGGGGCTTTATTGATTACATAGTGAAAATGCACTAAATCTTTGAAAATCTTCTTCTCTGCTCCTGGGTATGAAATAAACTTACTAAGTACATAGTTATGATGAGCATAGCTGCCTCTTCCAAAATTGTGAATTTCATGGCCCCTGGATCGGGGTTCTGGTGTTAGGGCGGGGCTCTATTGATTATGTAGTGAAAATGCATTAAATCTGAAAATCTTCTTCTCTGCTCCTGGGTATGAAATAAACTAAGTACATAGTTATGATGAGCATGGCTGCCTCTTCCAAAATCGTGAATTTCATGGCCCCTGGATCAGGGGTTCTGGTGAAAGGGAGGGGGGGCTCTATTGATTATATAGTGAAAATTCATAATTTCTTTCAAAAATATTTTTTCTACTCCTTTTTATAAAGCAAAGAAACAAGTGTATAGTTATGATGAGCAAGGATGCTTTTACAAAATTTTTAAAACTTGTGGTCCCAGGGGTTCTGTTGTTTCTCAGAGGGGGGGGGGGGGGGGCTCTATTTCATTATATAGTGAAAGTGTTTGAATTCTTTGAAGATTAATCTTCAACTAATTGCATAGTTATGATGATGAGGGTACATCTTCCAAATTTGTAAATTTTCATGACCCTAGGTCATGGGTTCTGGTGTTAGGGTAGGGCTGTGTTAAATAGTGAAAATGCATTATTTCTTTGAAAATCTCCTCTGCTCTTGGGCATATTGGAAGCAAAGAGAGTAATAGTTTTAATAAGCAAGGTATTTTTACCAGAATTTTAAACATCTTGACCATTTAGTCAAGTGTTCTGGTAATGGCCAGGGCTCTATTAATTTGTATTCTACTGAGTGAAGTTATTCCCCTTTGCCATTCACCTTTGATAATTAATCACTGTAGATGATGTATTTGAAAGGTTAATAAAATAAGAGAATTATGCAATAACATTTATTGTATAATACAAAAAGTACTTTCATAGTTTTAATAATCAGGTAGACTTGGAAATAATAGATGAATAAAAATGAAACAAAAATAACTTATCTTTTTAAATGTTCTTCAAAGGCCAAGTGAGGCCAATGTGAGAGGTAATAATATAGACATTTTGTTAAAAGTCTGCATGGTAATAGTGATAAATGGGGGACAGATAGAAAGATACTAGAACAGTTATTTTGTTGATCTTCATCATACTGTTTTCCTTGCTATTGGGCAACAAAGCTTCATTTATCAGTTTATGGATCCTGTAAATTGTTGTACTCAGGTAAACGTTAAGGCCCTTGGGCCTCTTGTTTTATTATACCTCATTATTATAATTCTATACAATGCATTATCTGGTTGGTTCTAGATTATCATGTGACAGGGCCATAAAACTTCATATTTCCCTGTCGTTGTCATGCTTTTCATCATATTCAACCTCTTCAGAGACCAAGTGCATTTTCCCGCAAAAGTTATCATTAGTTGAACGAAAACTCCCGAGAGTAGTAGACGTCACAATAGCCGGGTTCACATCAAAGAAATACTGAAGTGTTTTCAGTAACTTTACGTTAAAATTGAAAGTGAATTTGAGAGCGGTGCCAAATTTGAAAGTTTATGTTTATTTTTAATGTTTTTGCTTGTTTCAGTATAATAAACAATCAGTTGCATGAATGTTCGGGAAACATGAAGATTTATTCAGCCAAGAAATATCATATTCCCTTCGGGTGAATCCCTCAGGGAATATAATTTTTCTTGGCCGAATAAATCTTCATATTTCCCTCAGGATTATGCAATAAATGTATAATATTAATACTTTACTCTGAAATGACTGATTCAATATTTGTATACAGTATCCATGGATGAGGGGGAAAAAATATGAATTTTACTGTCCTTGCCGCCTGTGGTCAAAGGTTGGGGGCCAAACCATCCAAATTCATGCAATGACCGGTACTAGTATTCAAGAATCTTCTCTACTGCTGTTCAGCAAGAAAACTGTTTACATGATTGTAATAAGCTGTTAGCTCTCCATTAAAATTGTGAAATTCAGGATTCTGGTCCTAGAATAAGTGACATTGTTTAAAATTTCATTTTATCTTTGTTTACTCCTTGACATCTAGCAGACAAACATTTTGCATAATGACAGTGTGTATCCTCTACCAACAGAAATTCCTGTTCCATTGATTCAAGATTCAGACTTACTAGTGGGATTAAGGAAACATGTCTTAACAAAACTAGAGTGTTCCAAAGAATGCATGTGTCACCTGCTTTGTATCTTCATTAAAGACATAATTAAGAGCTAAGTGTGGCTAGCTATTAAATGATAGTTCATGCAGAAAAAAAAAAAACATTCACGCATAGTATAAGACTGTGATAGAATCTGACAATCAAAGAAAATGTGATTCTCAACCATAAAATGAATAATTAAATTGAATTTATTATAAATAATTATTTATCATTTTACATGTTTTAATGCGTGTTTCAAAGTCTTTACTCCGATTGTCAGTCTACGCGATCCATTGTGGGATACCAATCCCGATGTATTTTCATAGTATTTTAATAACTGAATCTCATACAGTCTCAAAGCACAGTATCATGAGCTCTTAAACATGTATAAATTCTAATTATCAACACCTCGCCTCTCAAAATTCAAAAGACTTAAGTTAAATTAAGCTGTCCAGGGTATTTTTTGCAAAGTTTGTCAAAGGTCAAGGTCAATTAAATTGTAACGCTGGTATTTTTCATGATGTTTTATGACAATTAGTGCACATGCTAAATAGCAGAGACTTACCTCTTAAATGTCAAAAATATGCTGTATATTGGCACTATTCACTTTTGTAAAGTAGGTCAAAGGTCACAAGGTTGGTAACCGTGGTGATTCACAAAGGCCACAATGCGAAGCAATATATGTGCAAAATATTAAGTCCATATCTCTTACAGTTCTTGAGATACAAAGTGTGACAGACAGACGCGGGGTAAAGTGATCCCTTAGTGCTGCTTTGCAGGTAACACAAAAATGGATGCATGGATTGGTATATATTTTTTATTTTAGTTGCAAATGATGCATTAATGCATATATCAAATGAAATTGTAAACTTTCTATATGTTTAAATTTCCTTTTTATTTTGCCATCTGCTTCCCTATAAATCAGCACAATTTTAATCACTTTATAGGACATTACTGGGAAGCTTTGAATGAAAAATGAAATTTTTATTCCTGTTACTTACATAAACATACTGTAAACATATTACATTAGGTTGTGCATTCTATTTACTGCCTTTTGTGGAAAGTAGCTTCCACAAAATCAAGTACATCATAAATGTCTTGTGTTATAGAGTCATATAAAGCACATTCAGAAAGCGGTAAATCAAATCTATGGTTTCTGAAAAATTAATATTTGCCAAATATTGTACACTCCAAATAAAATACATTTTATAGTAAATTTGTTATTTTCATGACTTAGAAAAAAAATTGTAGCATTTGTTCTTAAGTTGATCATATACTGAAACTTGTTATACCATGATTGAAAATCTTCATCACTCATAACTCTTAGATATTTAGCAAGAACTGTGTGGTAATGAACAAAGAGTCCACTACCAAATTGTAAAATTCATCTCACTTGGGTCCACAGATTGAGTTCTGGGGCTGGGTTAATGAAAGAAGACACAAATTTTAATTTGTAATCAGAAATTACAGAGCTCGCCTCAACAAATGTTGTCTTTAAGTAAGGCAAAGTCCCAAACTAATAATCTAATAGTGTGCATCCCTAGATGTAACATTTATGCAATTTTGGTCCGATAGAGCTTGCAGTAACTTGGGAATGGACTTACCTAAAAACTTAAAACTAGTCACTCATCCAGAAAATGTAAGTCATATCCAGCATCTAAAGCAAGTTTGAGGGTGTTCATCCTGTGATGCATCATCCATGCAAGTCTGGTTCAGATATAGCCCTTATAGTTTACTTTAACCTGGTCACTCATCTGGAAAATGTCAGATACAGCATCCGAAGCAAGCTTGGTAGGTGCACCTTTAGATGTATCATCCATGAAGTTTGGTCAATATAGGGCTTAAAGTTACTTGGAAATGAGACTTGCTCTAAAAACTTCAACCTGGTCACTCATAGTTCAGATCCAGCATCCAAAGCAAGTCCACTAGTGAGCATCCTTAGATGTATCATCCACGCAAGTTTGGTCAATATATGGCTTATAGTTACTTGGAAATGAGACCTGCTCCAAAAACTTTAACCTGGTCACTCATCCGTAAAATGTAGGTCAGATCCAGCATCCGAAGCAAGTCCAGTAGTGTGCATCCTTAGATATATCATCTATGCAAGTTTGGAAAATATAGGGCTTTTACATAGTTACTTGGAAATGAGACCTGCTCCAAAAACATTAACCTTTCATTTTTCAGCTGAAATTGCAGCATCTGAAACCTTGACTGGTACAGTGAAACATACTAAAAGCATCCTCCATGCATCTCTGATTAACATAGGGCACAGAAGTACTTGCAAAGAAAACTGCACCAAAAACTTTAACTTGGGACACCAATGCCGAGGGTATTACATAAGCTCTTGAGGTGAGCTAATAATTAACATAATGAGATTAACATACAATTTAATCAACCTAACAACAGGGCAAATAATAATAAAATTCTAAACACATTATTCTGGCTAAGGTTTATTGATAAAAATAACAATATATACTCCCATAACAAACATAAATATTTCAACCTGGCAAAACAATGTATTGATTTCAACAACATATATATATACTAAAACTATATACACTAACAACGCTTAGAATATGAAAACTGTCAACACGATTACAGGTAAATTAAATGTATCGCTCAACAATGATGTAAATTTGCCATTCAACAATAATATACTTATAGTGACTTTCTTATCTCTGTACAATATTTAACAAGATGTATAACTCTGACAACATCAGCAAGGAACCTAAAACAACAGATATCTGCCCATAGAACATTCATAGATGAGATATCTGCTCATACATCTGCATATAGAGCATTTTAAAGTTGCCTAAAACAACAACAATCTCCCCCATACAGCATTCATCGTTGTCTAAAACAAAAGATACTGTATCTGCCCAAAGAGCATTCAAAAATGCCTCAGACAACATATATTCTGCCCATAGAGCATTTTTAAATGCTGTAAACAGATATCTACCCATACAGCAATCACAGATGTATAAGACAACAAATATCTGTCCAGAGAGTATTCATGGATGCCTACAATATTGACAGATATCTGCCCATACAGCATCCATAGATCAAATTGTCAACAAGAGCTCAATTCAGAGCAAAGTTTACACAATGTGCTTAGAAGTCGCATCATAAGACATATATAGTCCAGTACATGTATTTCCATTCCTGCATTTAAGCATACTGTTACAGTGATTTATTTATAAATACATGTATAAATAATCCTTCATTACATGGTTCAAGATTTTCAGATAAATTTTAATTCCATTCATGTAATGAGAAAGTCTGATTAAAATATGGTACCAGCCATAGTTAACTATATAATCCACATCAAATAAATCTTTCCTGTATGAAAATTACATACATGTAGAACCTTGGATAATACACCAGTATACAAAATATGAATTTGTAACTATCACATTGCTGGTCAACAAAGATAGTTTCAACAGAAGACACAATCCATTGCACAAAAAAACTGTCGAAGATGAGAAATTTGACATTGATATATCAATTCAGAAAAAGTATTAATTTATTGATAGATCACTAAATTTAAACGGTTAACCACAGGTACTAAGACATATTTTAATTAAATGAAGATGTGAGCTTGCAAATATTTAAGGATTGGAAGGATGTGGTCACGTGACATATAACTGCATGATCACATGATCAGCTAAAGAATGTATGTATCTATAAAGTTAATAAATCATCATATTGATTTTACTATATTTTCCTCTGCAAAAAAGATTTATCTCAAATTTTCCTCCATAAGGCAAAAAAAATTTGTTGAAATTTCATTTCCATCAAGTCTCTGATGAGATTGTAGCTCTACTTGCATGTATAATAAAGATGTATCTTAGTATAGTCTACTTGTGTAAAATGTCTAAACAGACCAAAACAGTAGGAGTAGTATTTTCAAAGAATTTTTTAAAAAAATCTATTTTTAGTATCCATGGCAATATATACATTCTATATATAGAATTATGTGTAGTAGTATAGTCTATATACACTAAGTCTTATTGAAATTGGACCATAGCCATAGAAGGAGGAGTAGCGTTTGAAAGAATTTCAAAGAATTTTCAATTTTTAGTACATATAGCAATGCTTTCTGTTAAAATAAAAAAAACGATATAAAGAATTATGTATCTTGTGTACCAGGTCTTGTTTGAAGTGGACCCAAACTGTAGGAGGAGTAATGTTTTGGTCTCTGACCAGTAGAGCTAAGAACAAAACAAATAATGATGGACTATTACAGTTTCATATAAATATAACTCAGTCTGATCAGACTGACATCCTCTTAATCTGAAATTGATTCTCCACAGTAGTAATTATAAAATAAATGTACCAATATATGAAAAGATGATATATCAATATCAAACTCATCAATGACAGATCTAACAAGCCTCATCTGAACCAAAGAAATACCTAAGGAGGCCCATTTTCAGATCTCTCAGATTTGCCTGTATCTGTCAGATCTACAGGCTCGTCTGCTACATGACTAGAGGACATCTGAACCTCTTCATCAGTGAAGGAAGAATTGAGTGTCTCCCCCTCTTCTTCAGATCGTGTTAAATCTTCTGAATTTTCAGATGTCAGCTGCCATCCAGACATGCCAACTTTGAAATGCGACTTCTTATGTCGCTGCAGATTCCAGCTGCGAGAGAATCGCTTTCCACAGATAGGACACACATGGCGCAGAATGTGGTTGTATCTGTGAAATTTCAGGGATCTGTTGTCTTTGAAGCTCTTACCACAAGTACTGCAGGTGAAGAGTTCGCCTGAGGTACTCCCAAACTCGCTACTGGTATGTTCATGCTTCTGAGGAAAGGTGGACTTCCTGTTCCTCTTTGGTATAAAGGATGGATGACCTCTGTCATGAAGCACCATGTGAATACCAAGAGCTTTACTGCTGTTGAACTTTTGTTGACATATAGAGCATGTATGATAGAGCCCTGGGGTTTCTATCTCAGAGGGAGAGTGCTGCTCCCCTAAACTAGACTGGCTTAATCCAACAGATTCTGCAGGTTTTTGGGGAAAGCTAGGCTCCACAGACAGGATAGAGCTTTGGCCATGACGTTCATCTTCTCTGTTTTGATCAATTTCAGTGCATGTACTGCTGCTTTCTGATTTATTCTTTTCTCTTGGTTTAGGAGCAAAGAGATGAAAAGGCTGAGGGGAAGGTCGGGGAAACAGCAGAGGTCGAGGATAGGGATGTCCTAGATAAGTTGGAGATAACTGGGTCATGTCAATTATGTTCAGACCAGGGTTTGGCAGGTATTGCATTCTCTTGGCCAGGGTGCCTGGTGACACAAGTTCTTCTCTGGCATGCTCTTCTCTGGCTACTAAAAAGTGGAAATCATATTAAACTAAATGAAAGACCTCTGGAAATATGCATGTTTAAAAGACTATAATTTACTTGAGGCAAGGATAAATGGAAAGATGTCTACACTTCCATATATATATTTTCTTCTCCTTTCTTGAGGTTCTTGATGTTATTATTTAACCATAAATTCTCTCACCTGGTTCTAAGTGTTCTTGTTTGACTATTTCAAGGTCTGGAGTCTCCACTGAACTAGTTTCTGACACGGGTCTGCCAGAAGTAGAGACGTTAGGACTGGTTCCTGGGCTGAAGCGACCAGAGCTTTCTACAAAAAACAGCTCACTAGAGCTCCTTCCCTTAGGAGAGGGTGAAGCATTCTTCTCCTGTATCTCTGAGGCAATCTACAAAACCAGTATTTCATAGTTTTAATTTACTTACAAGTTCTCCTTCCCTTTACCTCTTGGTGCTAAACTTGTTATAACTTAGAAAATTTTATCGCTTTATAGATTATCAAGAAAACCTGTGACAAAGATGGAATCAAACCGGGTACCCTCACCATGCAAGGCGGGTGCTGTCCACACTAAGCTATTTAAATTGATGATGATGAGCCATTGAAATAACTTCATCATGTTCATAACACTTACTTTGCCATTATATATATATATATATATATATATATATATATATATATATATATATATATATATATATATATAACATTTTTGAATAAGTTTTCTTATTATATCACAAATGTAATAAGTTTCACTATTAACCCTGAAGAATGCTGAATCACACCAGAAACAGTTATGTCACATGCCAGAAACAGTTATGTCACCCGACGGAAACAGTTGTAACACCCTCTCGATCACTTTCACGTGTTTTTATGTCACGCATTTGTAGCTCGGGTTCGAGATGTAATGACATCGGTTGCTAAGCAAATGTACACAACGGAGCGTAATTCTAACATCATGAAAGCATTTTGGATTATTTGTCTAAACTTAAACAATTTTAGACAATTTTTTTTATTTTAAAAATGTTATATAACATATACCACATGGCTTCTCAGGTGACTATACCAGAATGTTTGCCCCTCGGTGACAGGAAAGTCCTGAAGTGTTATGTCACCCTCTGCCTTCGGCATCAGGTGACATAACACTCCAGGATTTTCCTGTCACCGAGGGGCAAACATTCTGGTATGTCACCCTCGAAGCCATGTGATATATGTATAATATACATATTTAAATGTATTGAAATACAAAATGTAAATCCCCAGTGCTCAGTGAATTACAGATGCAAATATAAAAAAAAAGACACAAAAAGTTTAGTAAAGCTTTAAATGTATATATAATTAAAACATGTCTGCATTATGCATAAACTGTCAATAATTATGAGCATTCAATTGAAAGCAGAGAGTTTTAAGTAGATTAATATCTTGTGCCTCTCCACTCCTTAAAAGTAATGACCCTTGCCTTTGGGACCTCGGCTCCATTACTTTTAAGGAATGGGGAGGCACGAATTAAGACATTAACCTATCCATAAATTATGTACAAGGTGCAACAAATTTCAAAAATCAAAATTTTCTTTTTAATTAACTGTTTAAAAAACAATTATACCTCACACACAAATGCCTGATGTGCCCGCAAAAAGGTCTGGCATAATTTCTCCACTTCTTTTATTTGTAACACTGTGGCAACAGATAACAGTTTCTCTGCTGATACTGAATCAACGGTTATCACTCCAGAATAACAGAAGTCCAACAGACCCTTCAAACTTCCTTCATCCAAACGATGGCAGTTGAAATCTGACAGATAGTTATTTTGTTGCGAAAATGCTTGATAAAAGTAGGGACTAAATGCAGCCAGAACAACACGATGAGCCCGCAGGCGTTTAGTATTCGTTACGAGGGTGATGTCGCAGAACTCTTCATGCTTGTAAAATTCTTGGAAGGCTACATTCAACTTTGGCAGCTGTTTTTCACTTCTATATACCATTGACAAAGGTGCTGAATCCATTTGTTAAACTGTGTGCAACTTAGAGCCTCAGTCTAGTCCTTTTCATTCTGTAGCTAAAGTCACACACCTTCAACTTCTGGATTCTAGTAACAAAAATTAAAATAATGGAGTAATATTTCATTTCATTAAGGTGCATCTCTTACTGTTAAAACTCAATATTTACTAAACTTATACCAGTATTACCTCTTTGAATAAATATGTTTATGGTGTCACTTAATTAGCAAACACTATCTTATTAATTATGTTATTTTTAAAGCTCATTATAATTGCATAAATGAGAGATGTAATGTAATTAGATGCTATTGTTCATATACATACAAAATTGTCAGTCTGAGTGAATTCAATTTTAAATTAAAATAACTGAAGTGCATTGTACAGTTATATTATTAATTATATCATTGTAGTACGTAGAATACTATACATTCTACATACATGGCATATACATTTATATCAATTGTTAAGAATACAAAGTTATACCTAAAGATTACCCATCCCCCTTTTTTAATCAGACACTTATCAAGAGTCCTCTTGGGACCAGTAGTTAAAATACAAGATAAAGAAACACTAAATCCATGGAATTTACATTTAAAAAGTTATACATCAAATATAAACATGCATAAGCATTGCCCTAGTACAAGGACTTACATACTTCATATTGTATACACGTCAATTGCAATGTTAATCACAATTTTGTTAAGAACAATTTTGAATAATGAAAACAGAGCTTAGCAAATATATGAATATCTACTTGCATTTTTAACTTACCGAAACACTTTTCACGGCATCTACTATGTTCTTTGCCAATGTCTCAAACTCAATCTTAGAAACACATTGCAGTTTGCCGACTAAGTAGTTAAATATTGAGACATCTCTCTTTTTTTTTTATTTTGACGGCAGCTGTCATTCAAATATTTATGACTTATCTCCCCTTTTCATTGGAAAATCTTAGATAGAGAACCATTCACGGGGATGGCAGAAAAATTCCGGTTGGAATTTAGGGGCTAAAAACTATTTATTTCCACAACTTTAAAATAAATACAGCAGATTTATAAATCGTAGCATTTTAAAAAACATCACAAACTTAACAAATTTGTTATTGTTAAAGTTAGAAGTGGAAAATTTCTTGGTACGAATAAATTCAAGAACAACTTGGCTAAGATATTTACCCACACCACAAGTTTCGCATTGTCACCGGTAAAGAAACTAGTTCAAATAGCTTATATTTCAAGGTATTTTCATTCTTTATTGCAATGATTTTTTTTAATTTGTTTGAAAATATAGTAACTGCCTAGAATTTGTATCATTTAGGCCTATATAATGTTTACTTGTTAAGCTTGTTATCTTGTACTTTTCATGTCCAGTTTATTTAATAAACTATTATACCGGTGGAGCGTTCATTTTCAGGTTTGGACCAATCGCCCAAATGGGAAATATCAGTCTATTTGGGATATGATATCCCAGATGGAAAACAGGGATATAATATCCCAAATGGAATATAAATTTAAGGTGCCAAAAAAGATGATTTTTCATTTTTGTTTATCTAATCTGCATAAAACGTTGAAATACTTGAATATAAAAAAGAAGTAAGTTTTGGTGAACAAAATTTTTATTTTTGTATCCCCACTGTTTAGGAGATTAATCCCTTGGAAAATCGTAAACTTCTCTGCAATCAGTCTCACACACTGTAGGGTTATAGAAAAAGGTTTCTGGCCAAATGTTATTGCATTCAGTTCACATTAATATTTATAGCTAAATAATTTCAAAAAAAAAATTCACTGTAAGTGTATATCTCATTTGGGATATTATATCCCTAATGGGCAATTATATCCCATTTGGGCAATCAGCCCCAACCTGCTTTATGGTGTGGAACATACTCAGTCTGATGGAAATTAAATGTGTTGCATCACTATTCACTAATATTTGTATCTCAAACATACGATCTAATGTAGATGATAAGTTATATCAGTGCTCGAGCTGTGATTTGCCAATTTTGCCAATTGTGAATTTTCTTATTCAAAAGTGGCAAAAATGAGAATTTTAGATATATACTATACAAAATTGTGTGTACTCTTTGCTAGCTCCTTTGTTTATTCAATGTATAATGGTTAGCCCCTTTGTTTATTCAATGTATAATGGTTAGCCCCTTTGTTTATTTAATGTATAATGGTTAGCCCCTTTGTTTATTTAATGTATAATGGTTAGCTCCTTTGTTTATTTAATGTATAATGGTTAGCCCCTTTGTTTATTTAATGTATAATGGTTAGCCCCTTTGTTTATTTAATGTATAATGGTTAGCCCCTTTGTTTATTTAATGTATAATGGTTAGCTCCTTTGTTTATTTAATGTATAATGGTTAGCCCCTTTGTTTATTCAATGTATAATGGTTAGCCCCTTTGTTTATTTAATGCAAGCAGAGTGTGAATTCAGGGTGTGAAAGGTACAAAACCATATCACTAGGGCTGTCACGGTTCCAAAATTTTTCGGGTCGGGTCGGTTCTGTAAATTTTCGGCTCGGTTTCGGGTTTTTCGGGTCGGGTATTTACATCTATTTTAAACCTTAATTTCATGAATTTAACTTGAAAAATCTTTATTTGTTACATTAAATTTACATTGGAAACAAGTCTTAACCATGCGAACGTCTAGACATCGGTGACTTGGCCTACTATTAGCCACAACCTGACCATTCCTGCTCGTTTTGATAATTATCTAATACTTCCGTGAGAAGTGTTTTGTCATGGAATGAAGTACATTTCAGTTGTGATGTTTATTTATCACTGTTATCGTCATCATTCCTTGGATTTCGACGCCATTTTTTGTATTGAACAGACTCTAATATATAAACCAGACCCGAACCGAAATCCGGAAAAGTGGAACCGGAAGCGAACCGAACAACTTGGACCGCGGTTCTCGGTTATTTCGGGTACTCGTGACAGCCCTACATATCATGTCTCACTTAATATTGAACGCACACAGCTGACTAGGTAACTTTTTCCTGGAGCAGTAAGGTATACAAAATTATGGTTTGTTCCGATTTTGCACACATTTGAAATGGTTTGTTCCCCTTCTGCACACATTTGAAACGGTTTGTTCCCGTTTTGCACACATTTGAAACGGTTTGTTCCCGTTTTGCAAACATTTGAAACGGTTTGTTCCCGTTTTGCACACATTTGAAACGGTTTGTTCCCGTTTTGCACACATTTGAAAGGGTTTGTTCCCGTTTTGCACACATTTGAAAGGGTTTGTTCCCGTTTTGCACACATTTGAAACATTTTGTTCCAGTTTTGCACACATTTTAAACGGTTTGTTCCCGTTTTGCACACATTTGAAAGA